ACCTGCGGCGCCAGCATACTGGGTTCTAGTCCCGGTCAGGGCACTGGATTGTGTCCTGGTTGCTCTTCTTCCAGGCCAGCTCTCTGCTGTGGCCCAGGAGGGCAGTGGAGAATGGCTCAAGTGCTTGGGCCCTGTACCCCATGGGAGACCAGGAGAAGCACCTGGCTCCTGCCATCGGATCAGTGAGGTGCGCTGGCCGCAGCGGCCATTGGAGGGTGAACCAATGGCAAAGGAAGACCTTTCTCTCTGTCTCTCTCTCTCTCTGTCCACTCTGCCTGCCAAAAAAAAATTAAAAAAAAAAAGTGTTCATTTGTTCTGCTCACCAGTGAGGTGGGACATACATTTAATTATTTGTATTATGAAATACACTCGAAGCATGGGGTGTAGATAATGTATTTTGGTATCCAGCAATAAGTTAAGGAAAAAGTGTTGTAATTGTAGCCTCCAATATATTTTCCCAGATACAGTTCTACTTTCCTTTCCTCGGAGGTAACCAGAAACTAGAACTTGGTAGATATTACTCCTATTTGTAACTTTTATGCTTTTACTACACACACATATATCTTTAGTATACATGTGGCTCTGCATATTTTATAGTATTAGAATATTTTTAGGGGCCGGCGCCATAGCTCACTTGGTTAATCCTCCGCCTGTGGCACCAGCATCCCATATGGGCGCCGGGATCTAGTCCTGGTTGCTCCTCTTCTAGTCCAGCTCTCTGCTTGGCCTGGGAGGGCAGTGGAGGGTGGCCCAGGTGCTTGGGACCCTGCACCCCCATGGGAGACCAGAAGGAAGCACCTGGCTCCTCACTTAGGATCGGTGTAGCTCTGGCCATTTGGGGAGGGAACCAACAGAAGGAAGACCTTTCTCTCCGTCTCTTTCTCTCACTAACTCTACCTGTGAAATAAATAAAAAAAGAATATTTTTAAAAAGATTTATTTATTTGGAAATCAGGGTGGGGGGGAGATGTTCCATCCCCTGGTTCACTCCCCTAATGGCTTCAATGGCCAAGGTTGGGCCAGCAGAAACCAGGAGCCCAGACCTCTATCCCCGTCTCCCATGTGGATGGCAGGGTCCCAAATATTTTGGCTATGTTCAGTTGTCTTCTGAGGTATACTAGAGGGGAATGGATCAGAAGTGGAGTAGCTGGGACTTGAACCACACTAACATGGGATGCTGGCCTTATAGACTGCAGTTAACCCGCTGCACCACGACGCTGGCCCCTAGAGAATGATCACACTGTAGACGTATGTACACTACTGCAACTTTTCAAAAACCTAGTATTGTATTTAATATTTAGCCATAGTGACTCAGAGTTCTAGTTCAATAATCTTCACAAATACATTTTATAAATGGATTTGATGGATAATCAAATGTTTTGTATTTTCATTATAAGCAAAAAAAAAAAACTGTGCTGAACTTTTTTTTTAAATTTCTTTTTATTTATTTGAAAGGCAGAGTTACAGAGAGTGAGAGGAGAGATCTTCCGTCCACTGCTTCACTCCCTAAATGATCGCAATTGCTGGGGCTGGGCCAGGCCGAAGTCAGGAGCCAGGAGCTTCATCCAGGTCTCCCAGTGAGTGCAGGGGCCCAAGCAGACTTTTTTTGTTTGTTTGTTTGTTTTTAACATTAGCCAGCTTCAGATATTTTATCACAACAGAAAATAGACCAAGGGTATGATTTGATATTTTTTCCTACAACGTGTGGTCTCAGATCAGTTATTTTTATTTATTTATTTATTTATTTATTTATTTATTTATTTATTTTGACAGGCAGAGTGGACAGTGAGAGAGACAGGGAGAAAGGTCTTCCTTTGCCGTTGGTTCACCCTCCAATGGCCGCCGCGGCCGGTGCACCGCGCTGATCTGAAGGCAGGAGCCAGGTACTTCTCCTGGTCTCCCATGGGGTGCAGGGCCCGAGCACTTGGGCCATCCTCCACTGCCCTCCCTGGCCACAGCAGAGAGCTGGCCTGGAAGAGGAGCAACCAGGACAGAATCCGGCGCCCCGACCGGGACTAGAACCCGGTGTGCTGGCGCCGCAAGGTGGAGGATTAGCCTAGTGAGCTGCGGTGCCGGCCTCAGATCAGTTATTAAACTGTTCTCTTTCCACTGATGTTCAATACAGCATCTCTCACATATCATTTCCGAGTGTTTTTGGGTTCTCTATACCCTTTAATTGCTCATGTTGTGTAGCTGGGCTAATAACATGCAGATGAATTTCCACAGCTTCATAATGAGACAATGCTTTACGTGTTTGACAGGTTGTCACAAAAAAGGGAACCAGCATGGAGGAAGGGGTGAAGCCTCAGTCCAGACCCTGACGCTGACCTGCAGCTCTATCTGCCGGCAAGGAAGGGCCCAGGCTTCTGATGCCCAGGAAGACACAGGCGGCTGGGTGAGTGATGTGTTTCCAGGGCTGTATTCCCTGCAGTCCCTGGGAAACTGGTAGACAAAGGCTACCCGAGGCCAGACTGAAGGTCTAGTAGGACAATTCTCCCACTCTATCCTGCTTCTACAGTCTCTGATTTTCATAGGCGGTCAGTGAACTTATTCATGCAGAAGTGTGTACAATAGAGGACTGATCTTTTTGATTTGTACTTTTTGGCCTGGGATACGAGTTTCAAGTGGATATCATCTGTACCAGCATCATTAAAATAAACAGTATTTGTAAAAATGAAAAAAAGTGTCTAGGCTGATGTTACTGAAATCTATATATAATGTTGCTGAGAATTTCAGTCTTTCATTGTTTTGTATTACTTTAAAAAAGATGCCAATTCTGCACAAAGTTTAATTTTCCATTAATTAATATGGCATATGCATTTCTTTTTAACGTAGATCAATAGTTTCTTCATAATGGTTTCATAACACTTTGTTAGATTTATTCCCAGTTTTTCCCTGCTCTTATTGCATATTAGACAAACACCCAAAATTATAATTTATAACTGTGCATCACTGATAGTTACTAACACAGTTTTTTAATCTAATGAAGAATATATTTTTCATTTTCTGGGAATTAATTTCCTATTCAAAAAATTTTTAAGATTTTATTTGAAAGGCAGTTAGAGAGAGAAAGAGACGGACAGAAAACAGAGATCTTTATTCGCTGGTTCACTCCCCAAATGGCCACATTTGCCAGGGCAGGGCCAGGGCGAAGCCTGCAGCCAGGAGCTTCTTCCAGCTCTCCCAAGTGCATACAGGGGCCCAAACACTTGGGCCATCTTCTGCTGCTTTTCCCAGGCGCATCAGCAGCAACTCGAACCAGTATCCGTTTGGGATCCCAGTGTCACAGGTGGTGGCTTAACCCATGACACTACGACACCAGCCCTATCCTATTCAAAATTGAATCCATGTTTTCTCCTGGAGTAATCCATCCCACAAAGCAATTGATGAGAACTTTTGAAATATTAAAACTAATTGTTTTCTGTTTTATGTGTCACAATGTGTTTTCCAATTTTCCACTTATCTTCTACTTTCATTTGTGGTTTTATCCTCTTTGACTATAAAAATGAAAACTGCGTAGAGTCACACGTATCATTTTTTGTGATTTGTTTCCGTTTCCTCATAACAGGATTAGGCAACTATTAATCTATGTTTTCTTCCTGAAGTTATTTTTATGCGCCTTTTTAATCCGCCTGGGGCTGGTGCTGGGGTTTTCTCTAGTTAGTCATGTCAGCTTGATATTTTGCTTCCCAGGAAGTTAACCACACATTCAGGCACTGTTTGGTCCTCTACTGAAGCCTGGCTCCATCACGAACCTGTGCCATTAGCTTACATTTTCAGTTTTGTTAAACTCTTGAAGATGTGACAAATCTTGGGACTCCAGTGAACAAATTTAGCATTTTCTTTCTTTTTTAAATTAAGATTTATTTATTTGTTTGAGAGGCAGAGTTAGAAACAGAGCAAGAGACAGAGAGATAAGTCTTCCATCTGCTGGCTCACTCCCCAAATGGCCATAAACACCAGGGCTGGGCTGATCACAAGGCAAAAGCCAGGCGCTTCTTCTGGGTCTCCCAAGTGGGTTCAGGGGCCCAAGCACGTGGGCCATCTTCCACTAGTTTCCCAGGCCATAAGCAGAGAGCTGGGTCAGAAGAGGAGCAGCTGGGACACTAACCAGTGCCCATACAGTGCAGGTAGGGGCTTAGCCCACTATGCCACCGGCACCAGCCCCAAATTTAGCATTTTTAAAAGCTAAGGGGACTCTGCCTCCCAAGGCAGTTATCATGGGAGGATGCTCCCAAGAGAAGCCACAGGCCTCGGGGCCTGCTCACAGGCTGGCTGACAGAGAGCTGGCTTCTTGAAAGTGGTAATCTGGGAAGGGAGCACCTGGTGCAAAGGGATTAGGAGGAGGGCACAGAGGGAGAACTCCTAGGGACGGCGGGCACAGTTACTGCCTCTGCGGCCGGAAGTTCAGATAGGTTCCACGCCGCTTGGAAAAGAACACACTGGAGATCTGATAAGGAGTGCAAGGCGCTGTCTGTCGCTTTTGGAAAATCTTATACAGAGAGAGAAGTACCATAGATTGCAGGAACGCTTCTCTTCCCTTCAACAGGGATCAACCCACCTCTGCCTCCGCCCGTGCCAGCCCTCCCCTCCCCACGGGGGACTCCGGAGCAAACCTGACCGCTCCGGCCAGTGTGTGAAACATTCAAGGGGCATTTTCAAGGTATCCACTGGGAAAGCGAAGCCCACTCTGATTAAGGCGGGAGTTGGGAAGACCTCAGTCCACCTGGGGCGAGTCCCGGCTCCCCAGCGCGCACCTGCGGGACCTCGGCTCAGCCCCACTCCCCAGCTCCAGCCCCCAGCTTCCTCGTTAGTAAAGTGCCACCGATGTGGGAACGGAGAAGCACTAACTTCCAGCCCAGCCTCTCCCTCTCTCAGGACCCCAGCCTCCACCCCCCACTCCCACCCCCGGAGGCCGCCCTGCCTTCCATCCGCAGACGCACAGGCCCACAGAGTCATTCTGGACACTGAGCAAACAGACTTGAGGTTTGGGTCTCTCACCTCTCCTTTCACTTCCCCGTCTTTCTCTCGGTTCCCACGGCGCGCAGAACCCACCCTGCCCGGCGTCCCCTCCACCACGGTGCCGCCTGCCGCAAACTCAAGCTCGCAAGTTGGTTTCTGGGGGCCTCCTGGGCCCCGGGGCTCGCGATAGCAACGGGGAAGCGCATGGTGCGTCCCCCGCCGCGGCCACGGCAGAGGGTGGCCGGGCCCTTCTCCCCGCGCACCGCTGCATCCCTGGGGCAGAGCGCATCCCCTAGCCCGAGGCCGCGATCCCGACCCGGGAGGCTGGGCCGCGTCCCCTTCGCCCAACGCCCGGATTCTATTCTTAGGTCGGCAGGCCGCCGGCTTTCGCTTTTCCTTTTTTCCAGGGCGCAGACCTCCGGCGGGCGGGCCGCGGTGGGGTCGCCGTGGGCTCCGGCCGCGCCGCCGCCACCGCCGCTGCCTGCGGGATCCGGCGCCGCCAGGGCGGGTCTCGCGGGCGTGGGCGCGCCCCAGCCGGGCCGCGGATCCACGCTTGGGCCGAGCCCCACGCAGGCCGCGGGCCCGGGGCTCGGGAGAGGGAGGCGGGCCCGGGAGAGGCAGGGCCGCGCCGGGCGGGGCCGCCTTCACCGAGAACAGAACGCCCGTGCGTTCGGAGCGCGATGGGACTATAGGAGGGCGGCGCGCGGGGCCGGCCCGGGCGCAGGAGGCCTCCTCGGGGCGCGGAGGGCGGCGGCTCGCAGCCCGAGCCACCATGGCCAGTGGCGGTGGCAGCAACCAGGGCAGCGACGAGGACGAGGAAAGTCTGAAGAAGTTGCTGGTCAAGCTGAACAACGTCCAGGAGGGCAAGCAGGTCGAGACGCTGGTGCAGACCCTGGAGGACCTGCTCGTGTTCACGTACTCGGAGCGCGGTAAGGCGGCCGCGCAAACTTTGCGCCTCGCTGCGCCCCGATCCGGTCCCGGCTCCTGCGCTCCTGCCGCCCGGCCTTCCCGGGGCGCAGAGCGCCAGGGGCCCTGACTCTGCCTCTCCTCCCTCACCCTCTTGTCTTGCAGCCTCAAGGCTGTTTCGGGGCAAAAGCTTCCACGTGCCTCTGCTGATCGTGTTGGACTCGTATATGAGGGTCGCGAGTGTGCAGCAGGTGAGGGCGCCCCCCTACCCCACCCCGCGACCCCTTCTGGGAACCCGACGTTTCCTGCCTGCCGGCGGGGAGGCCGCATCCCCGGGGCTTCTGGGCCGGGCCGGGCCGGGCCGAGCCGAGGTTTGGCCTCCGGAACCGCTGGCTGTCTTGAGGCTGGAGGCGTTGTTGGGGGATCCTGAGCTTGACTTAACGGGCTGAGGGCCCGGCACGCTCCAGTCCGCTTTCCCAAGCCGCTACCCAAAGCCGGCTGCAGGGGTTGGGTGGCCGCGGGGACTGCTGTTGGCAGGAGGAGCCAGCCCCCCGTCGTGTCTGGGAGGAACCCCTCTGAACGGCTCCCCCACATGCAGCCGCGGTCCAGACCAGACGGTCTGGGAAGGGCGAGTTTGACCAAGGGGCGCAGGGAACGGCAATCAGACGCAGTTAGGCGGCTGGAGGTCTGCGCCCTGGCTCTCCGCGGCTGCTCTTTCCAGTCTGAAGGCTTCCTCGCCTTCGTGAGATTCGGGCTGCGTTGTAGGATTTAAAGGAAGTGATGTTTGCTGATTGCCTCACCTGTTTGAGTTGGTGCTTCGCTAAGTTTTGTGACCTAAAACCTCTGTAGGAGTGAAACTTCGAGACCCTGCAGCATGGGGGAACCCAGAAAGGCGCCGAAGGCCTTCGGGGCGTTCAGGCAGGAGTCAGTGAGCCTTGAGAATGGTTGACCCCAGGACGGTTACTCCCCAAGGTGATGACGTCCTGTGCAGCCTTTGAGATTTGGGGAACTGAGAGCAGTCCTGTGCCCCGCGGGTCAGGTCGCTGGGGGGAGGGGCCGCGCACTGATCTGGCAGGCTGCAGCTGGGAGAATGGCAGTGTCTCTCCACCTTGGGTCTGTCTCTGTACCTGCAGCTCCTCTGCATGAGCCCTGGGCCCTGGATCTGCCTGCTTCCTATGAGAACACTTACACCTAGAGTAAATGTTTATTTTCCTTCAGTGGCGAAGTGTTTGCCATCTGACAGTTGATGTTCTGTCTGCTGTCAAACCAAACCCAGAGGGAGGGGCAGGCGTGGTCAAGAGAGTCCTCCTTTTAGCTCTCGAGTCTGGGTCGTTGTTAGGGGCTGGCTGATGGTGCTTGCTGCTGTCTCCCACACCACCCTTCTTCCAGCATGTGCTGGGTGTTCTGGAGTCTCTCTACCAGTTCTCTCCCCGGGATCCTGCACAGCCTTGGGTATGCACTGTGGGGAGGAGTGCTGCTCTGGGAAGCCCAAGGGAGCCAGGAACATAGTCCCTGATTGTTAATTTGAGAAACTGCCCGAGCCTGGGGTCGTTAGGCAGGTCCCTCGGGGTCCTTGCTCAGAGTACCAGAGGCAAAGCGTAGTGCACAGTAAATAAGGGATGATGAACATGGCACCTTTTGATTCTCACAGGGTCTCACTGCTCGGAGAACTCCTGCTGGGTATCTTATCTAGCAGGAGCTCAGTGAACATTATGAGACTCCCTGGGGGTCTCAGAGTTGGGGGCTTGAGACTTTTCGCACCCCCAGGTTCTCTTTCCGTCTTGAGCTGCAGTAACTGCAGAATGCGTGCCAGGCACAGGCTCAGTGGTTTGACATCAGTTTGAATTAGGTGGTCTTATCTGAGGGATGTGGAAAGGGGCCTCTCCACATAAAAGCAGGTTTCTCCCTCACCAGATTTTTTCGACTGTAGGCGCAGAAGACTTGAATGCTTCACCTGCTGCAAGTACATATTTAAGGAGTTAGGTGCCTGACTCTTCCAAAAGGGCTTTCTCAGAAGCCCGTTAATGTGACACTGCAGGCTCTGAGTTCTTCAGGACCTTTGTGTATTTTACGAATGCTTTAAGTAGATGACTGTTGGGAGACCTGGTAGCTAGGCCAAGTTCTCTCTCGCTGCCGTTCATTTCCTCTCTGCTCCTCAGTATTACTTTTTATCCGCACAGTCTCAGCCACTGAAAAGGGGGCGCAGAATCAATGAAAGTGGCTTACAATCTTGCTAACCTCTGCACTCCATTGTGCACTGATGAGATGCTTGGGTTTATAGGATCATTATCCTAAAGTGAAGCTACTGATGTGATTGCGCCGTAATTGTGCAGAATAGGGGCCTTCTTCGGAAGATAAGCTTTTAATGGGCTGGATGAATGCATCGATTGTTACCTCTGCTGCTCTGCCAGAGATAGTCTTGGCTCACACACGCTCCGCCGAGCTCCTGCAAGCTCGGTGACTGCATCTTTCTGCAGAGCCGTTGTTGATGCTGCAGTCTCAACAACGAAAACAGCACAGGTTTTCTCCCTGTGTCAGCCAGGCAGGTACAGACGTGAGGTGAGCATCCTCGGTGATTCATTTTTTTCTTTTTATTCCACACCGGACACTGTTCATCATGTATTTTCTTAGATACTGGGGAAGGAGAGTCTCAGTGTGTCTTACGAAAGCACAGAAATAGCTGGTTTCTATGACAGCTGGATTGTCAACGCCTGCTCAGCTTGCACGGGGGAGGGTGTGCGACTTCAGTGCAGGTAAAATTAGCTTTCAGAAGGACGGGCGGGCGCTTGGTGCAATGGTTCAGACGTTGCCCACATCTCATAGCAGGATGCCTCCACTCAAGTCCCGCCTCCACTTCCAGTTCCAGCTTCCTGCTAATGCATGCCCTTCAAGGCAGCGAGGCCCAGCTCTAGTACTTGGGTCCTTGCTGCCCCTATGGGAGACCCATATTGAGGTCTGGGATCTGGGCCTCCACTTGGTATAGCTGTGGCTGTAGCAGGCATTTGGAGGGCGGGGGGTGAACCAAGGGACGGAAAATAGACTTCTGTCTGTCTCCCGCCTCCTGTATTTCTGCCTTTCAGATGAACGAAAAAAAAAATTAATAAAACATAGCTGTTAGAAATTTCTGTTCCAGCAGTTTGAAGTTGTATAGGATGTCCATGGTTCACCTGCGCTGCCGCTCTGCACCAGGTTGTCCTGCCTACACCGGGCTGCCCTCTCCTCACCTGCAGAGCCTGCCGCACCGTCAGCACCGTCAGCACCCTGCTCTGCTCGCAGCTCATCAGCCGCGAGGGCTCTTTTGTAATGTGGCCCAAGTCCTGCCTTTCCATGTTACATCCCCTTCTGAATAACGCCAGCGTACATCGTCTGTGACCTTTAGGATTTGTCTGTTTGGCTGGTCTTCACACATCACTCTTAGCACTTGCTCATTAATCTTTGAATTCTCATTCATATATAATAATACTCATATATATATGGCACTAAGTATCATTTATATGTGTGTGTGTCTTTTCTGTTTAATGACTACAGCAAGTCGAGATCTAACATAATAACAAGAACTGAAGATCTTTTAACTTTAGAGAGGACTCTACAGTATGAAGACTGGGTTAAATTTGGTCTCCAGTTTGGAACTAGGACCTTGTCTTTTATTCAGAGGTGAAGGGCAACTTACTCCAGTTGCCCCAGGTGCAAGTGGGCTGCGTGCAGGTGTATTTCAAATGCATCAATCATTTCATATTACGCTGGAAAATGGAAGAGGGCCTGGGGGCGTTCTGATTTCCAGCCCCCATCAGTTCAGGTGCATATGTTCTAGAGAAATCTAGAGGGGTCCTCAGGGAGTTCTGTGTCCTCTGTGTGTGACTGCACTGCCCCTTCGCTTCTTCCATAGCAGATAAGGATTCGGTCACTGGACAGTGCCATTTCTGCCGCTGTCACTGTAGCTCCATACTTGGGAAGCTCTCATTCCTGGTGACTTTTGTTTTGGCACTAAAAGCCCTAACCTCCCTTCCTCCTCCCTTACAAGACAATGCATATTTCTTAATCACTTATTTACATTTTATTTGAAAGGCAGAGAGACAGAGACAAAGTAAGAGCTTCTGCTGATCCACTCCCCGAATGCCCACAACAGCCAGGGCTGGGCCAGGCCAAGGCCAGGAGTCTGGCACTGGTTCCTTGTGTGCAGAGTACCAGGAAGCTTGCATGGAAGTAGGGCCAGGACTCAGGCAGGCACTCTGATAGGGGGCGGGGGTGTCACCAGTGGCTTCTTAGCTGATGCTACAAACGCCCCCCCTATATTTTTTCTCATAATGAAAATTCTATATAATTAGAAGAAGTTCTGTTGGACACATTGGACTTGAAAGTAATAAGAGTGCCACTCTTGCACTTAATCCCAGTAATCCCGCTATGCTTGGTAAAACTATCCTTTGTCATTTATTTTATTTATTTAGGTAACAGACATGTTTCTTTTCTTCCTCTTTTAGAAAATGAGATAGTTTTGTGACCTTCTAGTATGACTCATAAAATATGTATCTAAGTATATGGCCTGCATTCGTTTCACAATATCGTTTAGTTTTAAAGTAAGTGCTTAAAATTGCACAATCACCTATTCTAGTAGAAATGTTTGATTAAACACATTCTGTTACGTCCTTTTCTAAACAGTCACCAGTTGCCTGTCTTGCTTCCAGGTGGGCTGGTCGCTTCTGTGCAAACTGATAGAAGTCTGTCCAGACACTATGCAAAGCTTGATGGGGCCCCAAGACGTTGGCAGTGATTGGGAGGTCCTTGGAGTCCACCAGTGAGTATGATGGGTGCATGAAATGAACTGCCTTGTGCATTCATGTGTAGGGCAGCCCTCTCCTTCATAGACTGGCTGTGGGAAGCCACTCTGGTGAAAACCCTTAAAATAGATACGTTTCCTTGAACCAATGATTGACATCTACAGCATGCTTTAAACTCAGAATTTTGAATTAGGGAAACAGTGCTTGTGGTAACACTTCAGGTGATGATGTTTGAACACTAGACTCCTATAGTTCCATCATTAGTCAAGTTGTAGTTTTTGATGAGTACTTAGTTTTTGATGAGTACTTAGAAATTCAGACCAAGAAGTGTTGTATACTTCTGAGTGGTAGAAACTGATACAAAGTGCTGGTTCTTAATAAGAAATGAGGAAACTGGTCATTTACAAGTTCATGCTTGACTGCCTTTGCAAAGCAGGTTTACATAGATTCCTGCGTATCTGTTCAGCGAGTTTCCAGGGTGGCTCTGAGCCGGGTGCAGCAGGTGCTGATGGCTGTTCCAGCAGGTCTGCTTTGCTGTGTGCAGCATCACACTCTGAGATGAGGCCACGTCCTAAGTCCAAATTCACTAAGAACAAATTTTCTGAAAAAAAAAAAAAAAATGTCCTCAGGAAAATCATGCTTGGATAACTGTGTTTCCTCCCATTTAGAAAATACCTTCCGTCTTCAGTTGTGTTATCTTTATGCCTCATGTGACTTTTCTTCACCACAGAGAAAGAAATGGTGAACGCCCCTACCCTCGGCCAGAAGCAGTGAAACTGTGGGCAAGACAGACACACAGCTCTCTGGTGTAGTGCCTTAGACCATTTCCAGCCAAGATGTATCACAAAACACTTTGCGTTGTATTCAAGGCACAGGGAAAGGAAGGGCAGAGGAAGCTGTGGGGGACTTGGCAGCGAATGAAGGAAGAGGCCCCTTCCTCCTCACCTTGTCCACTGCAGGCCGTGGGGCAGGTGTCTTGAATTTCGAGGAAGCTGTGGATGCCACAGCTTGGCCTCCTCCCAAGAAAGTTAGGCCAGACAACACTGGGTGGGAACAGACGAAAGGTCAGATTTTTAAACTGATAATGAAGAGCTTAAAATCTTGTAGATTAGAACTAATCAAGTACTCTAGCTATACTAAGTTCACATTCTTTTTGAATTTAATTAGAGAGGGGAAGGGAGAGAGAAGCTTCCATCCTCAAATGCCCTGAGAGGGCCTGGGCCAAAACCAGGAGCTGGAGCTCGGTTCAGGTCTCCCACGTGGCTGAGGGATCCTACCACCCGCACCCTCATCTGCTGCCTCTCCAGGTGCACAGGAAATCCGAATCTGGAGTGGAGTCGGCACTCAGGAGCAGGCACTGGGAGCTGGGCTGTGGGTGTCCTCTGCAGCGTCTCAATGGCTGGGCTGGATGCCTGCCCCGGGTTCACTTGGTGACATAGAATATTATTACTGTGTCTTTGAAAAAATGGTGGTAATAAATTATGAACATGTCCAAATGAATTAATAATTTACAGACACAAGCTTAAATCATGTTTCTAAATATATAAAGTCTTACGTTTCATATATAAACAAACCTAACAATTCACAAGTTTCCATTGCATGCTTGTTCTGTGGATGTATATAACTGTTCATGGTGCTTTGGTTATAGAGTTGGTTAAAAATAGTTAATAATGGAATTTGAATACTTAGAGGGAAAAAAAGCAGTACTTACGACTTTTGAAAACTCTTAGTTCCTTATTAATTTTGTTTTTTTCCAACTTCACTGATGTATAGTTGACAATTGAAAATTACCTATAGTTAAAATAGTCAACCTGATGATTTCATGTATGTATAAGTCATGATATATGTACCGCAATCAAGTGAATTACTGTTCTCCATGAATTTTTATAAGTGTGGTTCAGGCTTATGGGAAGGGAAAGCCACATGACTAAATGCAATGAGACTAATAAAGCCATAGGTGAGTAAGAAGCCAGATCTAGATGAGCACACCCGGAGCGTGTGTTGTCCTTTGTTGGTTTCTCTTTCTCGCTGCAGGCTGATTCTTCGAATGCTCTCAGTCCACAGTGCCAGTGTGAACCTGTTGACGGTGGGACTGAAGGCCTTGGACCTCCTCCTGACTTCAGGTAATGCACACGTGTGTTTTTCAGGTTGACTCAAGTTTTAAAAATCTAAAACCATGTATTAAATGCATTTTCAGTGTTTCCAGGGTCATGGCATAATGTCACCTGTATATAGGTGACTTTGGAAAGTCTGTTTGCGTCTTCTTTCATCTTTGATCTTACTCCCAGTGTTTCTGGCCCCGGCTATGTGGCTTTGCTTGCAGTGTCGGGCACACAGTGCGCCCTCCCCACCTGCTTTGCGACCCTTCATGTCCTTGCCACTCCTAATTGCATTCTCCGTATGCACCTATAGGATGTTCTCTGTGACAGCTGTCTTGGGGTGGCTGTAATTGTCCTCTCAGAATTACTGCTTTTTTACTTGGTAGGTGGCAGACTTCCCCTTGTAAAATGCTTCCCAGGCTTTTAAAAACAGAATCCTCAAAACACCCAGTGAAACGGATCTTGCATTTGAGTTTCTGGGTGACAAGGACTGAAGCGCAGTGCCACTGCCTCAGCCACTGAGTGGTGCCCCAGGTCACCTGCTGCCCAGAGGCCAGGGGACCAGAACACACAGACTCTGGATGTGGTGGGACAGTTGGGCCATCACCGTGGTGGTGGACACTGGCTGTGTGGGGAGATTCTGAGCAGCATGGCTGATCTTGAAACAGCAAGGTGGGGAAGGTGTTTCAGATCAAGAGGACCAGGGAAGACACCTGCAGCCCAGCACAGGGGAGGCTGAGGTGTGGCCAGGGAGACTTGTGGGGGCCTCATTGGCCCTGCTAATGAAGACCCTGCAAGAGAGAGAGAGAGGGAGAAGGAGGATGGAGGGGACAGCCCAGATGGTGCTCGCCACTTAACTGCAGCAGTCTGTGACTAAGGTACTCATGGCCAGAACTAGCTAGTCTCAACCAGGATTTATTTGGGTCTTAGCCTTGGGGACTTTTTGTTCTGTTTTGGTGTCTTCTCCAGTTGGCAATGGACAGGAATATGAGGGTTTATGGATCTGAAAAATGTCTCCACATTGGAATATATAGACGTCAGTAGCATGCAGGAAACATGTATTTCAAAAAGTTAATTTAATTTTGCCCACATAGTAAGTAGTTAGGATTTTGAGCCATTATGAAAATCTCACATGCGTTTCAAAAGTCATTGTAGATGCTTATTAGAGGTTAAGTTGTGAATCATTTTTATGGCCTGGCTATGAATTCATTGATTTAGTAGTTACTTGGCACTTACTGTTAACTGGATGCTGAAGAATTTTAGGACAGGTGATTCCTACAGGTGCAGAAGGTCACCATGTAGTACACTGCCTTGTGACTGTGGCAGTGATGGAAACACCATGTGTCTGTGTTGTGTGGTGGCGTGGCTCATAGCCACGTGGGGCTCTGGACACTTGAAATGTGAGAAACTGAATTACAATTTTATTTTGTTTTGATGAATTTGGATTTGAGTCTAAATAGCTACATGTGATGAGTGGCTCCTGAAATGAACAGTACAACAGATAGAAGCATTTAGAGAAATAATTGAAATTTAATGAGAAAAGTGTTATAATACAGAAATGAAGAATACAATCAGAGGCACAGAGGAAAAAGCAGCAAAATTCACTTGTGGGAGTTCAGAGTGTGCACATGAACTGCCATGAAGATGATGATGAGGGTGAAGAGAAACACGCAGATGCGTGAACAGAGAGAAACAGAGAGATGATACAGAAAACTGTCATGCCCCGATTCCCTCTCCAAATGCCTGTACTCGTTGGGGCTGGGCCAAGCTGGAGCCAGGGGCCCGACGCAATCCAGGTCTCCCACATGGACTGCAGGGACCCAATTGCTTGAGACATCACCTGCTGCATGCTAAGACCTGCATTTGCAGGAAGCTGTAGTCAGGAGCCAGAACCAGTGTTGAACCCAGGCACTGTGATGTGGGACACAGATGATATCCCAAAGGGCGTCTGAACCACAAGGCCAAACCCCACCTCATAAATTGCCTGAATTTAATGCAGCCTCTTATTGGTTGCTGAACCATGGCAACGTTAGTTGGGTCATTTATCTTCCTCAGTTTTATAACCCCTAAAATGAGGGTTGCACCCCATTCATAGGATTATGGTTGGGGTTAACTAGGTGCACATTATGTGCTAAATATTTGCTAGTACTGCTGCTCTTATGCTAATGCTGCTATGCTATCAACAAAACAGATGTTACCGCTATTATTTCTTGAATTATGGCATTGAGCTGCTCCTGATGTAGCAAAGGGAAATGGGTTTCCCAGCATTTAGGGCACGTGCACAGGAATATCCAAACCACACGTAGTGCTTAGCAAGGAGTTTAGCATATTTGGAGCAGAGACAACATGTGGAAAGGCATGGGGCTGATGAGATACATGTAGTCAGCTTGTAAAGGATCTAGTTTGTCACATGATAGAATCGGAAAAGGCCGTAGAAGATATCAGCAAGGGACTCACAGGGTCACATTGCATTTTAGCACAATAATCCAGGGCATAAACTAGTTGGGCAAAGATTTGTGCCAAGCTGAGCGATGAAGCAGTACTCACTTTGTAGGTGAGAGATGACGAGGCTCTGAACATGACACAGTAGAGGGTGCTTGGTAGAAAGGAGTTCTGAGCTGTTTGGGAGCACACCTGATGGACTTGGTAATGAGTTGATTGACTGGTGGGACAGGGAATGAGAAGAGAGAGGGGTGGAAGGCAGAAGATGACTCTTAGGTGATGGTGTCTTTGATGAAGACAGCGAGTGGAGCTAGGCTGGTGTGCAGTGCCCATGGGAGTTTCGGGTGAGGCTGTCTCAGAAGCAGATGGAAATGTGACTCAGGACTGTAGGGCTAGGAGAATTGATTGGGACTCAGGTGGTCCTAGGAGGATGGACTGGGAGTTTTTGCATAGAGACCATAGAGCTTGAAAGAGCCGACAGGCGGGGACATTCAGTGGTTTATCAAAAAGAGAAGTCCGCTGTTCATAGCCCCCGTGTAAAACTCACCACTTCAGTGTTAAAGCAGCTGCTTCCTAAGGGTGTGTTCTGCTTCCTTTCAAAACAGGTAAAATCACTTTGCTGATACTGGAGGAAGAAAGCGATATTTTCCTGTTGATTTTTGATGCCATGCGCACCTTCCCAGCCAATGATGAGATCCAGAAGCTTGGGTGCAAAGCTCTGCATGTGCTGTTTGAGAGAGGTATTTACAGATGTCAGAGTCTTCATTTTGAAATATGTATAGCAAAGAATTTAAGCACAAATTAGTACCGGGAAGAAAAAAATCTGAAGTCACACTATTGATTAGCAAGCAAGAGCATTGATCCAGAAGCATCCTCGTTTTTGTGGAGTGCATGTCATTTGTGGATTACTCATCAGGCTTCCACTCCTTAGCAAGGCCCAAGGTTAACTTTGAAAACGAGATTGTGTGGGTATGAAGAGAGAATACACCATGAAGCCAAGCCTAGGTTAAGTTGGGTTTATGATGTTGAGTCAAGACCTGCGATTTTAGAAATCGCTGGGGCTCCACGTCAAGGACCAGGAAGTGGTCCTGGGAAGAAGACTAACGTGTTGTGCAGGACGGCCTGAGGTTGGTAAGAGAGACTGGCATGTCATTCTGGAGTTGGAGTGTCAGTGGAGAAACGGGACAGAGACGGGAGCAGCTTGCTGGGGCACACAGCCAGCTTATCCTAAGGATCAGTTGTCACCCTCTTTTGAGAGTCCCTTCGCTACACAGCGAGATCCAGCTGTGCTAGGGGTTTGGATAGGAGTGACTTGTGTGTGCCCCATTGTTGATACCTGTTTGCCATTCTCATTGCTGGCAGCTCCAGGAACCAGGTTATTATTATTATTATATTATTATTATTATTACTCCAGGAGGACTTTAAATAGCCAATAAAAATATTAGAGGAAAAATGGTGAGAAAATGGGTAAAGGGAAAATGTTAGGAATCTAGATCTTTGCCTATTTGGCAGAGAAAAGATTGTGATATTTATCACAATTACCAAGTTTCTCGCAAAAAGTAAGCTCAGTAGTGAATCCGACTTGTGGGAGACTCGGAAATCTTCGCATGGATGCGTTCACTGGATGGAGGGTGGGAATACGAGGTATGTTTCTATGAGGTGACTGTGCCAGCAGTCGGAACAGCAGGCCCTGGGCCCAGCTCTTGGGTGATTAGGCCTGGAGGAGAAGAGTTTACTGTGGGTCAGGAATGGAAGAACTTAGTGTCTTCCAGGCTCTCCTCTATAAATGCGGTATCTTGTGACCAAGCGTTGATAAGATGGGGCAGGATCAGGTAGGAGGCTGTGTTCCAGCCTAGGAGCACATTTTTACAGGAGCAGGAGGGCCCACATCTCTCTCGCCAGCACTGTGAACCCTGTCCGTGACTTATCAACGAGAGAAATACTGGAGGAACAATCATCAGAGCTGCAAATTGTGGCTACAGATCTAGCGGAAAAAATCTCTTCTTCTGGGAGTTTTAAGTTCTCCCTAGATTCAGGAGCAACTATTAAGCTCACTTTTAAAACTGTGGAAGTATGCTTTTGAAACTCCAGGATAGAGTGAGAAATCCCGTGACGTCCCTCATTTGCTAGAATCTGAGCAGTTTACCTGTAACGTATGTAGATGCCTTGGAATGAAACTGAAAAAACAAAAACAGACAAAAACCAAGAAAACAGCAGTGTCGATCAAAGAGGGCTGCTGCCTTTTCTGACTGTGGGGGAGGCGATTCTAAGGGCAGGTAACCCAAATTTGTATTCATGTTTTTGAGGTTCCTGCCCAGTGACATGATTCCAAATGTAAAATTGGGCTTGATCGCAAGAGTTTAATTATGAAAGTTGATGGCGGTTTTTGATGTCTGATGGAAAATTATTAAGACAGAGTCTTTCAAAGTCGAATTCCTCACCATTTGCTACATTCCCAACTCTTGGGCCCTTGAGTAGCTCCACAGTCTCCCCACTGGAACTGTATACGATTTGGTTTTTATGAGAACTGATCGGTGACTCCAACTTAACTCTTCAAAAGCAGAGTGACTAATATAGGCCAAAACCAAAATTATTTAAATCCCTATAGTTGGTTTTCTTGCTACAAAGTTCTTTGAAAGAGCCTTTGTAGAAGCTACTTTATTCAAGTCTGTTGTATTCATTGTATCTCTTACAGTTATCACAAATATTACTGCATAATTGAACTTCGATATCATCTTTAAGTGTATTCTGTATTTTTGTCTTTAATCTTTTAGTCTCTGAGGAACAACTGACTGAATTTGTTGAGAACAAAGATTATATGATATTGCTGAGTGCATTAAAAAATTTTAAAGATGAAGAGGAGATAGTCCTCCATGTCCTACACTGTTTGCATTCCTTGGCAATTCCGTGTAAGTAGCCTGTGTCTGTGACTTATTCTCCTGTAGGTGAAAAATAACATTATGCCTCCCTCTTGAGTGTGCCATGAGTTTTTTTAATTTAAAAATTTGTAGATGCTAAACTCATTCATTCATTCAATTAATTTGTGTTGATTGAGATTTTGGGCTTAGTGATAGGGAAAGCAGTAGTGGAAAATCAAACGTGTTCTGGGCTTTTCAAAGCTGTTTGTAGGCTGAGGCATAAACATCAGTACATGGGTGATTACCACGTGTCCTAAGGCAAACGTGGCAGAAGTGCCTAGCGTGATGAGAGCATAGAGAGAGGGAGACTGGTCTCCTGGCAGAGACCTGAGTGATGCGGAAAGCTTTGTGTGTAGGGAGGTGAGGTGGGCATGGAGGTAGTGTCCAGGCAGCGGCACTGTGAGCAAAAAGATGCTAGGGCAAGAGAGCTTAGGTGACTCGAAGGGACACGAGGGGCTCAGTAACTGGATTTAGGCGTTTGCACTGGGGATGTGTGTGTGCTTGTGATGGCGTGTGTGTGATGATGCATGTGTGTGTGCATGTGTGAGTGTGTGTGCTTGCACGTCTTCAAGGGTCTGCTGGTGTTTCTTTGGTGCAGGTAGGGGAAGGGCTCGGTGAGAGTCAGTGGATGCGGCTGGAGATGCAGCATGAGGCAACGGAGGGCCTCAAAAGCCACATGAAAGAGTTGAAATTTTGTTGTTGATTCTTGGTTAGCATTCTAGTGGTACTTTAAAATTTAGTCACTTTTGGCCGGCGCCGCGGCTCACTAGGCTAATCCTCCGCCTAGCGGCGCCGGCACACCGGGTTCTAGTCCCGGTTGGGGCGCCGGATTCTGTCCCGGTTGCCCCTCTTCCAGGCCAGCCCTCTGCTGTGGCCAGGGAGTGCAGTGGAGGATGGCCCAGGTGCTTGGGCCCTGCACCCCATGGGAGACCAGGAAAAGCACCTGGCTCCTGCCATCGGATCAGCGCGGTGTGCCAGCCGCAGCATGCCAGCCATGGCGGCCATTGGAGGGTGAACCAACGGCAAAGGAAGACCTTTCTCTCTGTCTCTCTCTCTCACTGTCCACTCTGCCTGTCAAAAAAATAAAAAAAAAAAAAATAAATAAATAAAATTTAGTCACTTTTTTCACACAAAAAAAATTATTTTGCCATATGTGCTACCCATGGTTGTAAATAAGTTAAATCATGCCACATGTTCTGATTTGGTGTGGAGGTGCACATTAACAGTTTATATTTCCTGTGTTACTTGAGTGCACTTCTGTAGTAATATTTTCACCTTCACCCATGTGAAGTGGTGTTTTTTTTATTTTTTACCTTTTTTTTTTTCTTTTTATTTTTTGTTACGCCAGGCAGAGTGGACAGTGAGAGAGAGAGAGACAGAGAGAAAGGTCTTCCTTTGCCGTTGGTTCACCCTCCAATGGCCGCCGCTGCTGGCGCGCTGCGGCCGGCGCACCGTGCTGATCCAATGGCAGGAGCCAGGAGCCAGGTGCTTTTCCTGGTCTCCCATGGGGTGCAGGGCCCAAGCACCTGGGCCATCCTCCACTGCACTCCCTGGCCACAGCAGAGAGCTGGCCTGGAAGAGGGGCAACCGGGACAGAATCCGGCGCCCCGACCGGGACTAGAACCCGGTGTGCCGGCGCCGCTAGGTGGAGGATTAGCCTAGTGAGCCGGGGCGCCGGCCGTGAAGTGGTTTTGAGGATTAAATGAGTAAATCATGTGAAGAATACAGAATAATTACCCGCTCTGTAACAGGTGTTATAAAACCATAGCCAGCATCACTACATATTCATCTGTATCTTATTTGTAAGTCATGTATCATATGCCTGAGGAGACTTTAGGAAGATAAGTTTGTTTTGGTGCAAATCTTTGAAATCTGTGCAGGCTTGTAACATGTGTGTGTGGTTTCAGACGTGGGAATCCGTGCTGTGTTCTGAAGCTGGGAGATGTGTGTGGGGCAGGGTGGAAACCCGTTCCCATTTCTTCGCGGTGTTTGTAAAGTCGCTTTTGGCATTGAACCCTGGGGAGTGGGTGGGGCTGAGCAGGAAGGGAACGGCGGCGCTGGACCATTTCGGAGTCACCCCTGCAGCACATGGTGCTGCTCTTCATCCTTTGCCTTGGCTGTGTGGATTCATTTATTCACTTACTTTGGGCTGGCTGTTTTGGGGACTCATTGTTTTCCACCCACGTCTGACATAAAATAGGTTAATTCATAATGCAAAGGTCAAGGAAAGTAGCAGCTAAAAATCCAGAAATCCACAGTGTCAAACCCCGATTCTGTTGAGTTTTTGTTTTTCAACCTAGAGCACATCACTTCCTCTGTGTGAGAAGGGGGACACACACACACCCAGACACACACACAGAGCAAGATCTTCCATCTGCTGGTTCACTCCCCAAATGGCAACAATGGCTGGGGCTGGGACTCGGCTGGGCCAAAGCCAGGAGCTGGGAGCTTCATCTGGGTCTCCCATGTTGGGGCAGGGGCCCAAGCACTGGAGCTGGCTTCTGCTGCTTCCCGGGGCACGTTAGCAGGGAGCTGCATGGGAAGTGAGCCGCTGGGACTGGAACCAGTGCCTCATGAGATGTTGGCATTGCGAGCAGCTTTTCCTGCTGTACCACAATGCCAGCCCCTGAGTTTTCCATTTTTGGTCTTCTGTTTTTAAGCCAAGAAACAGGAATAAAGGGATTTTTCCTTAATGCTAAAGGTGAGTCTTCATCTCTTTATATTAGTATCTAATATATTATGAAAAGTTTAGTACTTTTATAGCTAGTAGACAAATTCTATTTAACTTTGGAAACACACCTGTGTTATGTGGCCATGTATCTACAGTCTCTGCGAGATGTGTTTGTGTGCAGATTGGAGACAATGATGGCAGCGATGACCTCCTTGATGATCGTGGTTTCTTTACACGCAGGCAACAACGTGGAAGTGCTCATGAGCGGCAATGTCAGGTGCTACAATATTGTGGTGGAAGCCATGAAAGCCTTCCCTGTTAGTGAGAAGATTCAAGAAGTGAGTTGCTGCTTGCTGCACAGGCTGACCCTGGGTGAGTTGAGACCCTGGAGTAACTTGCGGTCACCACCTGCAGGCTGTAAGCATGTAATACGCCTGTGCGTATTGCCTGCTGATGGGTGGGCAGCATTATCCACGTGCATCAGAGGGAGTGTCAGATGGAGTGAATTGCCCTGCCATGCTCCGGTGGAATTTTTTTTTTTTTTTGACAGGCAGAGTGGACAGTGAGAGAGAGAGAGACAGAGAGAAAGGTCTTCCTTTGCCGTTGGTTCACCCTCCAATGGCCGCTGCGGCCAGCGTGCTGATCCAAAGCCAGGAGCCAGGTGCTTCTCCTGGTCTCCCATGGGGTGCAGGGCCCAAGTACTTGGACCATCCTCCACTGCACTCCCGGGCCACAGCAGAGAGCTGGCCTGGAAGAGGGGCAACCGGGACAGAATCCGGTGCCCCGACTGGGACTAGAACCCGGGGTGCCGGCGCCGCAAGGCGGAGGATTAGCCTATTCAGCCGCGGCGCCGGCCTTCCGGTGGAATTTTAAAGGGGGTGGTGAAAACAGGTGTGTGAAAAGGAAGACAAGTCTTGGCTTCATGTTACTTTTTTTTTTTTTTTTTTAAGAGAGTTCTCTGGGAGTGTTTGAGTGTTAGGGCCATATTTAAAATAGAATTCTGGAGTAGCTGATATGTCCAAAAGAAGAAGTGGGACTAAGGAAGGAAATGCAAGCGGCTCATGTCCCAGGTCCAGGGCTGGGCCTTTCCCAGGCTGGGGAGGCTGGCCGGGGCTCCTTCCTGCCCCTTCTCTGTGGAGGCTGCACTCCCCCACCTCGGGGGTCATGCACCTTGTGCCCTAAGCCGAGCTGTTCTTGTGTGCTTGCTTCTGCTTCAGCGCAGGCAGTTCATCAGGATCAGCACACATTTGTGGAGGCTGTAAATGCCTCTGCGTGCTGGGTGAGGTGCTTCGTTACGGGTATACTGCAGTGCGTATCCACTTCGCTCAGCATGGAGATTTTTCTTGTTTTTTTTGCTTTATGCCGCTGCCATCTGTGTTGCTACCAAAAAAAGAAGGGTGAATGTTTCTTTTCATTTTTTTTTCAAATTTTCTTTGCCATTGGCATTTCCTACTTTGTGAAATATACAATCCATTTTCCCGTAGGGTGGTCTTCTAGAGTTGATTCATAAATTCTGGATAATACAATGTATTAAGAATATCTTCTTTTAATTTGTGGCCTATCTTTTCACCATGTTTATGGTGGCTTTCGTAAAATAGTGAAATTCAGTAACCAGTTCCTTTGTGATTTCCTTTTTCTTATGTTCCTTAAGAAATATTTCTTTTCCCTCATCTGAAGCCTTTCTCCTTCATTTATTAAAGCTGTGTAATCTGTTTTATCAAGTAGAAATTCAATTTTGCTTTCGTTTTTAAATTTATGAGGAGCTAATTACCATCACAGCACTGTCTGCATGGTTTGTCCATTTCTCAATGTGTGTATATCGGTGTATGTATGTGTGTGTGTGTGTGTGTATATATATATATATATATATTTTCTTGGTGCTCTGTTGCAGTGGTTAACTTTATTTGCCTGGATCAGTACCATACTGTTTAAATTATTATAGCTCTGTAAGTCCTGAAATCTGACTATCTTATAGCTCAAGTCATCATATATTCTAGTTTTTTTTTTTGCCTTTTTTTTTTTTTTTTTTTTGACAGGCAGAGTGGACAGTGAGAGAGAGAGAGAGACAGGGAGAAAGGTCTTCCTTTGCTGTTGGTTCACCCTCCAATGGCCGCTGCAGCCAGCGTACCGCGCTGATCCTAAGCCAGGAGCCAGGGGCTTCTCCTGATCTCCCATGCAGGTGCAGGGCCCAAGCACTTGGGCCATCCTCCACTGCACTCCCTGGCCACAGCAGAGAGCTGGCCTGGAAGAGGGGCAACCGGGACAGAATCCGGCGCCCCGACCGGGACTAGAACCCGGTGTGCCGGTGCCACAAGGCGGAGGATTAGCCTAGAGAGCCGCAGCACCGGCCAATATTCTAGTTTTTTTAAGATGTATTTTTTTTTAACTTAAAAGACAGAGTGACAGAGAGAGAAAGAGGACTTTCATCCCCTGCTTCACTCACTAAATGTCCACAACAGCCAGGGCTGGGCCAGGCTGAAGCCAGGAGCCAGGAGCTCCATCCAGGTCTCCCACGTGGGTGGCAGGGGCCCAGGTACTTGGACCTTCCACTGCTTTCTCAGGCAGGCTAGCAGGGAGCTGTATGGAAGAAGAGCAGCCGGACTCGAAGTGGCATTCTAGTGTGCGTTGGGGTGTGGCAAGTTCTGGTGTAGCCTGCCTCACCATAAGCATGGCTCCATACATTGGTTTGGGGGCATATTTTGACTTTTGTCTGGAGCTTTTACTATTGCATACGCATTTAAGAATTGTCCATCTCCTTGAAAATTCCACTGGAAGTCTGACGGGAACTGTGCAAAATCTATGGATCGGTTTAAGCAGAACTGACATCTTACGTTGTAATTCCTTCCATACCGGTCTTCCACATCTTTATTTGTTATTTCTAGATAGCTTGGTTTTTATTATTATAAAAAAGTCTCATTTAAATTATACTTTTGAATTTTGTTTGCATAAAGAAATGCAAGTGGTTTTGTTTATTGATTTTAGCTACCTCTTAAACACTGAGTAGTTTTCATGATTTGTAAGTGCTTAATGGTTCTCTATGTAGCAATTACTTAATATGTGCACAACCCTAGTTTGAGTTTTTCCTTTCTGCTCCTGATGTCTTTTGTTTCATTTTCTGTCCTCTTGCCTGGCCAGGAATTACTACGGTAGTGTTAAATACAAGTCAGAGTAAATATCTTTGTCTCGACTCTTGGTTTTAAAGAGAATGCATCTAATATTAGAATTGTTAAAAGTTTTTTTTTTTAATTTTAAAAATCCTTGTCTTATTTTGTGATAGCTTTTCTTTGTAATTTTTAAAAAATTCTTATTTATTTATTTGAAAGGCAGAGTTAGTGGGTGCAGGGGCCCAAGGACTTGGGTCATCCCCCACCTCCTTCTCAGGCACATTTGCAGGGAGCTGGATTGGAAGTGGAGTAGCCAGGACTTGAACTGGTGCCTGTATGTGATGCCAACACTGAAGGCAGTGGCTTTACCTGCTACACCACAGTGTGGGTCCTGTGATAGCTTTTATCAAGTTAAGAAATTTACTCTTTGGTTTACTTTTACACATAAGACTGTTTTTTGTTTTAATCACAGGTGGGTAGGAGTATTGCATTTTGCAAATACTTAAAACACAGTTTGATATAATTTTATTCTTTTTTTATTTTGGTCCTATGGAGACCTGAATCTGGAGATTTTTTATAATCCACTTTGTACTCCAGTGAAAACTTGGTCATGTTTCGTAGGTTTTACAATGTATTTCAAACATCTTTTCATTTCTGGACCTGCCAGCTAACTTTCGAGGGCCCTGTGTTTGCTCCTGTCTGCACGCCTCTCTCCTTTCTTTGCTTTATGATTCTGTTTTCCGCTGTGCACTAATATGTCGGGTTTTGTGCCCACTGTATAAAGCTGGGGGCGTCGAAGCCTTGCTTCCCTGCTGTCAGCCACTCCAGCGTTTGTTTTCTTCTCTGTGTGTGAGTTTCTCTTTGGTTGAGTCAGGATCCGAGCATTGTGAAGCTGCAAACCACAGGTGCTGGCCCAGAGGTGCCTCCAGCAGCCAGAGCCCAGGCCTGAGCTGGGAGCCCCAGGGCCTTGTGGGAGACTCTGAGCTGCCCCACCTTGGGGAGTCCCAGTGGAGCCCCCTGCAGAGCCCGAAGCCCTGCGTTTGCATAGGGTGCTCTCTCCTCTTGCTTTCAGCTCTCAGTCCTCGTTCCAGCTCCTTCATGGGCCTCCCACTCCCACCCCAACATACACACCTTGTACATTTCCTGGGTATTTTTGTGAGCCAAATAGTGTGTTAAAAAGTGAGTGGCTGGTAAGATGATTAACTGCTGGAAATTGGTTCTGATGGTTTTCCCCCAAAAGGATTACCAGCAATGTTTTGTGCATACTTAGGGTTTTATTACAGGCACTGAGGTTTTCACCATTCAACTTTGGGGGAAAATGTCATCATTCTTTTGTAAAAATTAATTTTCATGGTCTCATAGCTACTCAGATTTTTACTTCAAGAATCATAAATGTATCTGCTGAATAATTTGGAAATAGATTTTAGCATTTGGAAAGACCCTAGTTTTAGTTAGAATTCAATTCCTAAAGATTTAATTTTACTTTACATGTACAGCTTCAATTTATTTCTTTCCTTGAAAAGCATTTATTAAATACCATTATCTGACCACAGTTGTAAGATATGATAATCATGGTTTCATGTTTGCACATAGATATTTTCTGGTTACCACAGTAGTTCCATATATGATTTTTTTTTTAGAGATTTACTTATTTATTTGAAAGTCAGAGTTACACAGAGAGAGGAAAGGTGGCGGTGGTGGTGGGGGTGTCTTCCATACGCTGGTTCACTCTCCAGATGGCTACAACAGCAGGAGCTGAGCTGATCCAAAGCCAGGAGCCAGGAGCTTCCTCCGGGTCTCCCACATGGGTGCAGGGGCCCAAGGACTTGGGCCAGCCTCTGCTGCTTTCCCAGGCCATAGCAGAGAGCTGGATGGGAAGTGGAGCAGCTGGGACTAGAACCGGCAACCATATGGGATGCAGGCACTGCAGACAGCAGCCTTACCTGCTACTCCACAGTGCTGGCCCCCATATATATGATTTTTAAAAAGATTTATTTATTTGAAGGGCATAATGAGTGAGAGAGGGGGAGAGAGAGAGAGAGAGTTTCCATCTGCTGATTCATTCCCCAAATAGCTGCAATGGCCGTGTCTGGGCAAAGCTAAAACCAGGAGCCTGGAACTCTATCCTGGTTTCCCGTCTGAATGGCAGGGGCCTAAGCACTTGGGTCATCTGCCGCTTTCCTGGGTGTATCAGCAGGGAACTGGATCGGAAGTGGAGCAGCCAGGACTGTAACTGCCACTCATATGTGGCATGTTGGCATTGCAAGTGGCAGGTTAACCCACTGCCCACAATGCTAGCCTGTAGGTAATGTTTCCTTGACCCACAGAATGATCCTGGGACACTGGGTGTGGTAATTCCCTCCACACGTACAGATGAGGATTTGTGGGCCAGCAAATCTTTGTGTCTTACCTATGATGGTGCATCCTGTATGGGTGGAGTCTGCCTCCCCACACAGAACGAAGCCTCCTTCTAAAACGTGGCAGCTTTGTACTAGTTTACCTTTCCATCTTGACGATTCTTACTCACTGTATTTTCACAAGGAAGGATGAGATAGTGCAGCCTGTTGATGTTGAATTTTTCAACCTAATTTGCAAGCTGATGCCTTAATTTCAGACCAGCACACTAATGGACGGTTCTGTTTCGTATTGTACAGTTTTCTGCAGTGAAAGTTCAGTGTGCACAAGTTGCATTTAAAATGTGAATTTGTCCGGCACCACGGCTCACTAGGCTAATCCTCCACCTTGCGGCACCGGCACCCCGGGTTCTAGTCCCGGTTGGGGCACCGGATTCTGTCCTGGTTGCCCCCCTTCCAGGCCAGCTCTCTGCTGTGGTCCAGGAGTGCAGTGGAGGATGGCCCAAGTGCTTGGGCCCTGCACCCCATGGAAGACCAGGAGAAGCACCTGGCTCCTGCCATCAGATCAGCGCGGTGCGCCGGCCGCAGCGGCCATTGGAGGGTGAACCAACGGCAAAGGAAAACCTTTCTCTCTGTCTCTCTCTCTCACTGTCCACTCTGCCTGTCAAAAAAATAAAATAAAATAAAATAAAATAAAATAAAATAAAATAAAATAAAATAAAACGTGAATTCACTTTAATCCCTTGAAAGGACCTGGAGGAAGCAGTGGTCTTGTTGTCCTGGTGAGGGAAATAGTTCTGGAGGGCCTGAAGGGTGTACAGTGACAAGTTGGAGGGCCATGATGTCCCGCTATTGAGATTAAAGAGCCATGGGACTCATCATAGCCTGTGTAATTTCTATATTGTTCTGTAGCTTTTGTTTGAAAATAGAAAGCCAGCCAACTGGCCTTCAGATAAGTATGCATTTTTGTCCCACTCATTTACCTCTTAGCAGAATATTATTGGTTCCATTATTATGGTCTCAAAATAAATTGAATCAACCTTTCAGCGTCTTCCTAATTAACATAAAAACTCGAAGTCAGCAAATCAGTAGCTAACATTTTTCATGTTGTATAATCTGGGGCAGGCATTTTGGCCTAGCAGTTAAGCCCCTGATTGGGTTGCCCACATCACATGTCTGAGTGCCTGAGTTAGAGAACTGACTCTGCTCCCAATTCTAGCTCTCTGATAATGTGCACTCTGGGGGGCCGTGGTAATGGCTCAAGTGACCGGGTCCCTGGCACCCACGTGGGAGACCTGGATGGAGTTCCCAACTCTGGGCTCCAGGCTGGGCCAGTCTTGGCTGTTGCAGGCATTTGGGGAGTGAACCAATGGATAGGGGAATCTTTCTGTGTAGTTCTGTCTATAAAGTAAGTAAATAACTTAAAAAAGCAAATCTGTCTTTAGATCTCTTCTTATCTCTCTGTAAATCTGCCCTTCAGATAAATGAATAAGTCAATAAAAGAAGAAAAACAGGGGCTTGTGTTGTGGCACTGCAGGTTGTCACCAACCCGTGATGCCGGCATCCCATGTGGTCTCTGGGGTCCTGGCTCCTCCACTTTCAATCCAGCTGCCTGCTACTGCACCTGGGAAAGCAGCAGAGGATGGCCCGGGTGTCTAGGCCCTGGCTACCCACATGGGAGACCCAGATGGAGTTCCAGGCTCCTGGCTTTGGCCTGGCCCAGCCCCGTTTGTTGCAGTCATATGGGGAGTAAAGTTGTCAGTGGAAGATTTTTCTGTGTGTCTGCCCTCTCTGTCTGTCTCTCCCCGTGTCTCTGTAACTTTGCCTTTCAAATAAACAAATCTTTAAAAATGTGATAGGATGATGGGTTTAATGCATGTAGGGGTTTTTACAATTTACTCTTTATTTTCATATCAATGAGGCCAATCTTACTGCTGGTTGCCAAGAGCCTCACAGTTGGCCAGAAGTAGAGCCGCTGTTGGCAGCCACATGGGGGTGACAGCAGTGGAACTAGGGTGAGTTTAGACATGCCGGTAAACATGGGGGAGAATTGTCTTGACGTGAGTCTCCGAGACCAGCCAGGTCTTGGGACCTGGGGGTGGGGGTGATTTCTGGGGAGTCCCCAAGGGTGCAAGGCAGAGTTGAAAGTTCTGAGACCATCGATGACTGTTGGTTTGGGACTGCAGGCTTTTTGTGGTATGTTACGGAGGTTTTCTCTGTTTCTGCCTTTCTGACATTTTATGACATCTAGGAGTAAGTAGGAGTTTCCTTACTACGTCTAGAGGGAAATCTGGTGCAGTGAGTGACAAACACGCCAGCTGGAAGGAGGAACGGATTTCTGGAATATCACTGATACGGTCTTTGCTCATAAAGACACGGGAATTGATGCGTTAATTCTGGGAAGAATGGATGTAAAATGGAAGGGACCTCTTGCTGCTGCGAGTCTAGACTGACCACGGACTGAGCCGGAGGAGATGTGTGCAGTTGGGTTTCTGGGCAGTGCAGAGAGAAGAGGGACAGAAGAGGGAGGCTTTTTGTATTGCAGGCTTGGATCTTTTGGAAGGCAGGAGAATGAAGTTACTTTGTACAGTGAATGTGGTTGCAACACAGATAGTGGACATCTCCTTGTTTTTAAGTGATAACAGCAGGAGAGGGAGTCAAAGACTGGAAAGTTAACGTGTCCCAAATTTGTGTCATCCTTTTGCTCGGGCACTCCCGTTGTCTGAGATAATTAAACAACAGCTGAGAGGAAATCTCCAAAGTTTCCTGGGTCATAAATATGAGGAGCCGCCAAGAATTCATGGAAGTAGGCACCATGCAAAAACTCTGCATGGGTTTCAAAATGTTTTTGTATCAAAATAAACTTATCTTTTAATTTTCTACAGACTTTTTGCAGATCCCTCTTTTGGATCCATCAGCGTTTAAAGAAGTGTTTTAATGTTAACATACCCATCACGACTCAAATTTGTTGGTTTAATACTGTCATAAAGCAAAGGTGATTCCAGCTCCATGTTTGGAAACTCAGCCTCTGTCTCACTGAACTTTTAGGCAATTTTTTCAACATCCTGGTGCTGAACGAGGTGCACGCGTTTGTGGTGAGAGCTGTGCGGCGGTATCCCGAGAACGCAGCGCTGCAGATCTCGGCGCTGGGCTGCCTGGCGCTCCTCAGTGAGTGATGCCCAGCCCCCACCTCCCAAGAAGGACAATGTGATGCGTGTGTCTGATGCTGTCAAGAGGATCCCAGGCAGGGAAGGAGGCAGTCAGCGCCTGTGCTGTCCAGTGCAGTCCGTTTCCCAGTGGAAGATACTTAGTGACAGGTGCACCTTTCCCCGGGCAGCCGGGAGTTTGCTTTGGACCCGAGTCAGCGTGGTCACTCAGCAGCTTGCAGGATCCTCCTCTAGTCTATTAGGGAACTTTTTGGGTATCCTCTTCTTCATCTTAGCAGTTTTTCTGTGTGGGGTAACCGTGGGGCGAGGCCTCTATTATATCAAACCTTGGTAGATAATCAGCCACGTCTGCTCTCGCAGAACGCCTCACTCAGTGGACACCACTTCAAAACAGGGACTTCCTGTTAGTCACTGGAACGTGCATAAAACGTTCGTGGAGCATCTTGATTATGACATGTGTGGATTTCAAACTTGGCACCAAAATAAAGTGATCTTTTAGTTCCATTTCCCCTGTATGTTTTAAAGTCCCATCATTGTGTGTGTGTGTGTGTGTGCATGAACGTGCATACAATGCCACATATGTATTTATTGATTTTTTAATGTTTTCAAGCTGAGACCATTTTTTTAAATCAAGACTTAGAGGAAAAGAGTGAGGCTCAGAGTGGCGAGGAGGAGGAGGAGGAGGACAAGCTGTTCTGGCTGGAAGCCTGCTACAAGGCGCTCACGGGGCACCGGAAGAACAGGCATGTGCAGGTGAGGCTCCTGCGGACACGACCAGGCACTCAGCCAAGTGTCCGCCACGTGCGCTCTGACGCTCCTTCCTCCCCTCCCCCACGCAGGAGGCGGCGTGCTGGTCCCTGAACAACCTGCTCATGTACCACAGCAGCCTGCACGAGAGGATCGGCGACGAGGACGGCCAGTCAGTAAAGCCGCTTCTCTCTGATAAAGAGTGCGCAGCTGTCACTTGAGGCAGCGCTAAGAGACGCGCTCCCCGGGGCTTTGCTGCGGGCGGTCATGTTCTAGGCACTGCGGTCATACGGTGGAGGGTCTGTGGTGCTGCAGCGTCTTTGCTGGCCACAGGCGGGAGGGGCGGTGTGTTTGGACGTTATTGCTAAAGGATTGGGAGTCCGGTTATTCATAATCTCTGAGTCATGGAGGAACAGTCTTGCTGTGCTCTGGATGCTAGCTTAAAAACGCCGTGTGCATTCAGCCCTGATGGGAGAAATCACAGAGCCCCCTCTGGCCTGCAGGCTGCCACCCCCAGGAATTAGATTGGGTCAGAGGGCCCCTCTGGTGAGGGCCTGGCGCATGTGGCAGTGTTGGGAGCTCTGGGCTCCGCTGGAGCTCGTGGTAGTAGCGCCCTTCCCACACCTTCAGGTCAGCACTGGCTCCCCACGCACACGCGGGAGCCCGGCCCTTGATCCATGCCTGTCCCGGACCCTTGCGCTCCGGCCGTTGGCTATGAGTGCTCCCTGGGTCTGAGACTCTGAGTGTCCCTCTTTGCAGACTGAAACAGTCATGTCCACACCCGGAATCCTGGCAGCCCCTTTGCGTAGTGGCCCCTCAGCTAATGGCATGGATGCTAATTAATGCAGCATCTTTGGTTTGAAAAGAAACAGTCATTCTTTTGAAGATTGCTTGGTAAGCGTCCCAGTCGTTCCACTGAGAGCAGTCCTCTTAGGAAATTAGGATAAGGCAGACTTGTGTTGTGATTTATTAATTTTTGTTCAGAGCTCACCTGTTCTTTACTATTCATAAGAGACCCTTAAAGTAAATGTTAGTGACAGAAAATGTTTGTGTTCTGTCTTTAAAATCCATGTGCTTCTTTATGACTTGTTTCCTTTTCCTTCCTTGCTTCTGTTGCCTTCTCCTCACTTTATCTTTTCCCTCCTAGCACCTCTGTATGTGAGGAGGCTTCTTGAGGTCTGCAGAAAATAGAATTAAAACTAAGTTTATTTTCGTGCAAAAAATTCTGAAATTCATGCTGGTTTTTCACAGTACACACTTTCTGTGAACTTTAAAAGAAGTATGAGTTGGAAAGCAGAGTGATAGAAAGGAGGAGAGACAAAGACAAAGAGATCTTCCATCCACTGGTTCACTCTGCAGATAGCTACAAGAGCTAGAGCTGAGCTGAGCTGAAGCCGGGAGCCCGGAACTCCCATAAGATCTCACAGGTGGTCACAGGGGCTCAAGTGTTTGGGCTGTTGTCTGCTGCTTTCCCAGGAACATTGGAAGGGAGCTGGATCAGATTTGGAACAGCCAGGACTCAAATCAGCAGTCTATATAGGATGCCAGTCTTACAGGCAGTGGCTTTACCCACTGTATCACAACATGGGCACCTCCCTGAAAACTTTATTTAAGAGGGTCTCCTCCTTGGGAGGCAGGGGTCCCAGTACTTGGGCCGCCTTTTGATGCTTTTCCCAAGTGCATCAGCAGGAAACTGGATAGACTTAGGGTAGCTTAGTCTCTAACCTGCGCTGCTGTGGGATGCCTGCCTCACAAGCAGTGGCTGTACAACCATTCCCTGAACTGTTAGGAGACCCCTCACATACCTACTGAGCTTGCTTTTTTCCTTCTGCTAATCAGCTTTGGAAGAAACAAAAACTGATTTCCTTGGTAAGTAGTGGTTTGAATCTGGCTCTTGAATGTGAAACGGTTTAGCTACCATGCACCGTTAAGACAGTGCATAGCCTTATTTCTATGCCGTTGCCTGTTGTTGGAGATGTTGGACCGTGTGCAGAGAGGCTCAGTTCCCAGCAAGATCCCACTCACTCTGCGCTTGTCCTTCGGCAGGCTCCCTGCGCACAGGGAGGTGATGCTGTCCATGCTGATGCACTCCTCGTCGAAGGAAGTCTTCCAGGCATCGGCAAACGCGCTGTCGACCCTCCTGGAGCAAAATGGTGAGGGCTGCCCCCAGATGTCTAACAGGGAAACCTGTTCGTGGTGGTGTTGACTGAAAAGCTATTTATAAAGTGAGAGGCTTTGTAGCTTCCTGTATCTGATGTGTGGCTATGTTGAGATGCAGGTGAGCCATCAAGAATAAAATGAATTTTCCCATGTGTGTTCTGGACGTCCTTGTGTGTCATCACACATGGCATGTGCAGTGTATTTTAGAGCTTTAGGCAGAAATGGGATCCTAACATATTCCAGTAATCAAATTGTATATTTTTCCTTTTCCCATTGATAAATCTATGTTCACACATAGTTTTTAATAGCTGCTTCAAGTCCATCTCTTGTTGATGAGCTGTTAGCCTGCCTCATGGAAGGTTTTTGGAACCCATGATAAACCCCAAATGGTTACCCTTCCCCCTCTTTTTTCCTTTAAACACTGGTTATTGTCTTAGAAAATATTTATAGGAAATAAAACAGGGTAGAGAGATAGTCAGCACTTGAAATTTTCTATTATAAATGATCTATTATAAAATATTTACTTTTTCAAGAGACTTTCAGTTTTTAAGAATTATTTTTAAATTTATTTGAAACAGGAAAGAGGAAGAAGGAAAAAAAGAGTGAGAGAGAGAGGGAGGCAGGAAGGGAGAGAGAGAGAGATCTTCCAACTGCTGGCTCACTGCCAAAATACATGCTCAGAATAGCAGGGACTGGGTCACACTGAAACCAGGAGCCAGGAACTTCATCTAGGCCCCTCATGGGGGTGGCAGGGGACAATATACGTGGGCCATCACCTGCTACCTCCCAGGTGCACCAGCAGGCAGCTGGATTGGAAGTGGAGGTGAGACTTGAGCCCAGGCACTCCAGTATGGGATGTGGGCGTCCTCAGGGCAGCTTAACCCACTGCATCACAAGACTTGCACCACTATAAAACTGTTATACACAAGTTTTCTGGAAAATGGTCCCTCACCTAATTCCCGAGTTCCAGCTTTGTGCAATTAAGAACAGAGAGATGGCTTGTAACCCCTTGGCATTCTGTTAAGGTTTAAGATCGTGGCTCAGGCTGCTCAGAATCCTGATCCAACAAATGGGAATTTCTGCCAGGAATTTCCAGGAGGAAACACCAGCAAGGCATTGGGACTTGGCAGCTCTCACAGGGTGTTGGTAGAGGGAGAAAGCCTGAGCCAGAGACGGGCGTGAGCCCCGCAGGTAGAAGACAGCGCGAGAGGAGAAACGACTGAGGAAGCCCCTGAGGCTCGCTTCCTCACGGGATGGCTGAGGTCCAGCGAGGGGGGAAGGCAGCTCTTTGCCCCTTTCGTCCTTTCCCACTCGGTCTCTGACCCCAGCTTAATAAATGATGTGGCGTGACAAGGACACTGGGAAGCAGGCTGCTTGCCCTTGGCGTGATGAGTCAGCGTGGGAGGGGCAGGAGAGGACGACGCTGCTGCCAGCCGTCCCCGTCTCCCACATTCTCTGGTGCAGTTAGAGCAGACGGGCTGTGCTGTCAGCTCCTTAGGTTGGAGTCGGAACTTGGCTGCTGCTGCTCGGTGGGTCTCCTAGGGGAGCAGACAGACTTCCGTGTGCACCAGCAGGCCTGTGCCCGAGCTGCAGTTTGAACCACCCTGGAAACAGGACAGCCAGGATTTGGGGGAGATTTGGCTTGCTTCTTGTTGCGGTCTCTGAGGATTGGTGCCGTCCAGAGCTAGCCTGGACATCTGTGTTCACAGTCAGTTCTCTGCTCTTTCTGGATTCCTTACTCCTCTGTCTGTGGCGGTGCCCAGGCACGCTGTCCTTGGAGTCCACCTCAGTGGAATATTAAAGACTCGAGCAACTCATTCACCAGCCGCCTCGGGCTGCTTGTCATCGGGAGCCATTTGGGGATGACGGATGTGCAGGGCTATGCCTGGTGTTTTAGGGAGATGGCTGATTTGGTAGCCAGAGGATGGGGGGGCTCAGAACTGTGGAGGTTCAAAGGCCAAGATATTTGAAAGGCCAAATATCTCCTGTTATGTTTGCTTCATTTCATTTATTAATTGAGTTAATATTTAGTGTATTCCTGCTATGTGCTGGGCAATTCTGTAGGCACAAGAATGGAGCACCTTTGTTCTTCCAAGGGCTGTTTGGATATTTATAGCATCATTTGCGGACCAAACAAAACTATTGATTTAAAAATTAGCCTGTTGGCCAGCGCTGTGGCTCACTACGCTAATCCTCTGCCTGCGGCGCCGGCACCCCGGGTTCTAGTCTCGGTTGGGGCGCTGGTTCTGTCCTGGTTGCTCCTCTTCCAGGCCAGCTCTCTGCTGTGGCCCGGGAGTACAGTGGAGGATGGCCCAAGTGCTTGGGCCCTGCACCCGCATGGGAGACCAGGAGGAAGCCCCTGGCTCCTGGCTTCGGATCAGTGCAATGTGCCGGCCGTAGCGGCCATTTGGGGGGTGAACAACGGAAGGAAGACCTTTCTTTCTGTCTCTCTCTCTGTGTGTCTAACTCTGCCTGTCAAAAAAAATTAGCCTGCTACTGATTTATTAAATTTTGAATCCCCTCTTTGGTTGCTTTGGCAGGGCCAGACCCAATATTTCCTGGGCTTATATGGCCTGCGGGCTGGGTGTTCCCCACCCTGTGGAGGGACTGGATACATTGCTTAAGAAGGAACCCAGGCTCATGGAGTGTGGCTTCTGCTAGGGAGGACAATGAATGCGAATCCGTGAAATATGGGGTTTGTGAAGTAGCTAAGGAAGAAGGTGACTCAGGAAAGGGGGCCTTGCTGTGTTGGGGCTCAGAGTGGGCCACCCGGAAAGGCGACGGTCGATTGAATGGGGACGTGTAGGAAGGTTCGTGTTGTTACTTATCGTCAAGTCCTTTCTGGCCAAAACGCAGTGAATGAGGTCAAGAGCTTGTGTAGGTCGACAGTCAATGAGACGTCAGGTATAGAATGTTCCAGACCCTGAAGTGACTTCCTGATGAAATGTCTGCCCTTGAGCTGGTGTCTGCCAGGTTCGAGCTGCACGTTGGCTTGTTGTCTAGCACACCGGTTATTAGAGTGTGGTCCCTAGACCAGCAGTGCTGCCTGGGAACTCGTCGAAAATCGGCAGTTCTTCAGCTGAGTTGGGACCCAGCAATCTGTACTTTTGTTTTTTAGTTTATTTTATATGACGGAAGACAGAGTTACACAGGGAGGCTGAGACAAAAAAAGATCTTCTGTCCACTGGTTCACTCCCCAAGTGGGCGCAAAAGCCAGAGCTGAGCCAATCCAAAGCCTGGAGCCCACATGGGTGCAGGGGCTCAAGCACTTGACCCATCATCTGCTGCTTTCTCAGGCAGTAAGCAGTGAGCTGGATTGGAAGCGGAGCAGCTGGGGCTTGAACCAGTGCCCATATAGGATGCTGGCACTGCAAGCCGGAGCTTTAACCTACTGTGCCGCTGCGCTGGTCCCTTCTGTCTTCTAAAATTTCTCCTTGGATATAAGGTAGCCACTTTGAGAGTGTCAATAAAATTTGGCGTGATAGGGTGAAGTGTTCAAATTCTTATAAAATTCTTAAAAAATAATCAGAGACAGAACAGAGCTGGTTCCCCCTAAGTGCCTGCAACACCTAGGACTGGGCCAGGCGGAAGCCAGAGACCGGGAACTCAGTCCAGGTCTTCCATGTGCATCGCAGTGAGTTGAGCCGTCACTGCTGCCCACCAGCGTCTGTGCTGGCAGGAAGCTGGAGTCAGGAGCCAGCACAGGGATGTGAGATGTGAACATCCTAACCACTGGGCTAAATGCCGGTCCCCTTAACATATCTTAATATGTGGAAGTGTTTAAAAAGGTGTCCAGGTGTTGGCAGTGTCTAAGAATGTGTATATAATTTCTGTTTGTTCTTTTTTTATTATTTTTATTTTTGACAGGCAGAGTGGACAGTGAGAGAGAGAGAGACAGAAAGAAAGGTCTTCCTTTACCGTTGGTTCACCCTCCGATGGCCGCTGCAGCCAGTGCGCTGTGGCCGGTGCACCGCGCTGATCCGAAGGCAGGAGCCAGGTGCTTCTCCTGGTCTCCCATGGGGTGCAGGGCCCAAGCACTTGGGCCATCCTCCACTGCACTCCCTGGCCACAGCAGAGAGCTGGCCTGGAAGAGGGGCAACTGGGACAGAATCTGGTGCCTCGACCGGGACTAGAACCCGGTGTGCCGGCGCCGCAAGACGAAGGATTAGCCTAGTGAGCCGTGGCGCCAGCCTCTGTTTATTGTTAAGGTATGCAATTTAAAAAAAAATTATTGATTTATTTGAAAGGCAGAGTAGGAGAGAGATGGAGAGACAGTGAGAAAGAGGTCTTCCACCTGCTGGCTCATTCCCAAAGTGGCTGTAAAAGCCAGGAATGAGCCAGGCAGAAGCCAGGAACCAGCAGCTTCATCTGAGTCTCCCATGTTGGTGTAGGGGCCCAAGCACGTGGGCCATCTCCAGCTGCTCTTCCCAGGCTATTAGGGAGCTGGATTGCAAGTGGGACTGCTAGGATACAAACCCATGCCCATGTGAGCTGCCGGCATCATAGGCAGTGGGTTAACTGGATAAACCACAACACCGGCCCCCACAGTTTGTTTGAAACCCAGTATTTAATTCTTCTAAATTTCCTTCTCTGCCACTTTGCCATTGCATTTCTTTTTTTTTGTTTTGGTTTTTTTGTTTTGTTTTGTTTTGACAGGCAGAGTGGACAGTGAGAGAGAGACAGAGAGAAAGGTCTTCCTTTGCTGTTGGTTCACCCTCCAATGGCCGCCGCGGCCGGTGCACTGTGGCTGGCGCACCGCACTGATCTGATGGCAGGAGCCAGGTACTTCTCCTGGTCTCCCATGGGGTGCAGGGCCCAAGCACTTGGGCCATCCTCCACTGCACTCCTGGGCCACAGCAGAGAGCTGGCCTGGAAGAGGGGCAACCGGGACAGAATCCGGTGCCCCGACCGGGACTAGAACCCGGTGTGCCGGCGCCGCAAGGCGGAGGATAGCCTAGTGAGCCGCGGCGCCGGCCTTTGCCATTGCATTTCTCAGTGACAGCGTGTGATCACGCGGCTGATTCCTGCATGGAGACTGGCAGAGAGCGGGTGTTCATGTAGAAACGTCAAGGCCGTGGGTTTGTTTCCCGGGGGAAGTTGACAGTGGAGAGGAAAGTTCCTTGGTGTTGTCCTTGCCGGGTGCCGTTGCTCTTGTACCTCCGGTGCAGAAGGGGCCGTGCGGGCGTCTGTGTGTTTGCCAAGCTCTGGGGTTGCTTGGTAAAAACAAAGGAGCACAGTAGCAGCTGCTCTAGCCCTTTGTGTGAGGGCAGACATGAAGCTTATGGTGCTGGTGGTCACTGGTAAATGGACAGAGTGGCTCAGGGTTCCAGAAAAGCCACTCTTCGTCCCTTCTTAGACTCCCCCCTCCCTGAGACCCGGGAGAGTGGTCACCCTCTGCACTCCCTGTGCCTTATTTCTAAATCGCTGGTGTCTCCTGCACCCGGATATTCTCCCATCCAAGTACTAAACTGGTCCGGCCCTGCCTCTTATTTGGAGAGTATAATTTAATCTAAGCATTTTTTTTTTTGTCCCTGCAAAGTCCCTGCTTTCACACGCCCTGGGCTATTCTCTCTGTGGTGGAACAGCCGACTCTGTGGATGAAACCAACATCATCATCATCTTCTTTTTTTTTTTTTTTTTAAAGATTTATTTATTTGAAAGTCAGAGTTACAGAGAGAGACACAGAGAGAGGTTTTCCATCTGATGGTTCACTCCCGAATTGGCTGCAATGGCCAGAGCTGCGCTGATCTGAAGCCAGGAGCCAGGGGCTTCTTCTGGGTCTCCCACATGCGTACAGGGGCCCAAGGACTTGGGCCATCCTCCACTGCTTTCCCAGGCCACAGCAAAGTGCTGGACTGGAAGAGGAGCAGCCGGGACTAGAACTGGTGCCCATATGGGATGCTGGCGCTTCAGGCAGGGTGTTAACCTGCTGAGCCATAGAGCCAGCCCCTTAAACCAAAATCTTAACAAATTTTAATCATATAAAAAATGGAAAATGGTATATATGTTAAAGAAATCAGCATTAGTGATACATAGGTTGTCAGTGAAATATGTTTTGTATGTTTTTACATGCTTTCCTGTGAATTTGGGCTATCCTTTTTTTTTTTAACTTTTATTTAGTAAATATAAATTTCCAAAGTACAGTTTATGGATTACAGTGGCTTTCCCCCCCCCATAACTTCCCTCCCACCCGCAACCCTCCCCTTTCCCGCTCCTTCTCCCATTCCATTCACATCAAGATTCATTTTCAATTATCTTTATATACAGAAGATCAATTTAGTATATATTAAGTAAAGATTTCATCAGTTTGTACACACACACAGAACATAAAGTGTAAAATGTTGTTTTAGTACTAGTTATAGCATTAATTCACATTGAATAACACATCAAGGACAGAGATCCCACATGAGAGAGTAAGTGCACAGTGACTCCTGTTGTTGACTTAACAAATTGACACTCTTGTTTATGGCATCAGAAATCTCCCTAGGCTCTTGTCATGAGTTGCCAAGGCTATGGAAGCCTTTTGAGTTCGCCGACTTCAATCTTATTCCGACAGGGTCATAGTCAAAGTGGAAGTTCTCTCCTCCCTTTAGAGAAAGGTACCTCCTTCTTTGACGACCTGTTCTTTCCACTGGGATCTCACTCGCAGAGATCTTTCATTTAGGTTTTTTTTTTTTGCCACAGTGTTTTGGCTTTCCATGCCTGAAATACTCTCATGGGCTTTTCAGCCAGATCCAAATGCCTTAAGGGCTGATTCTGAGGCCAGAGTGCTGCTTCAGACATCTGCCATTCTATGAGTCTGCTGTGTATCCCACTTTCCATGTTGGATCATTCTCTCCCTTTTTTATTCTATCCGTTAGTATTAGTAGACCAGTCTTGTTTGTGTGATCCCTTTGACTCTTAGACCTATCAGTGTGATCAATTGATCACTGGGACTAGTGAGATGACATTGGTACATGCCACCTTGATCGGATTGTATTGGGTTCCCCTGGCATGATTCTAACTCTACCATTTGGAAAAGTCAGCTTGAGCATGTCCCAAATTGTACATCTCCCTCTCTTATTCCCACTCTTATATTGAACAGAGATCACTTTTCAGGTAACACCTAAGAATAATTTTGTGTTAATTATAGAGTTCAACCAATAGTATTAAGTAAAACAAAAAAATACTAAAAGGGAGAAAGTATTAAGTTGTACATTAACAGTCAGGACAAGGGCTGATCAAGTCACTGTTTCTCATAGTGTCCATTTCACTTCAACAGGTTTCCTTTTTGGTGCTCGGTTAGTTGTCACCGATCAGGGAGAACATATGGTATTTGTCCCTTTGGGGACATGCTTTCCTGTGAGTTTGGGCTGTCTTATATCCCGTGTGTTAGTGCAAAATGAGGAAATTTGGCTTTGCTTTCTACAAGTAACATGGAAACAACCTTGCAGTTAATTTCAGAAAGATCCTGTTGTCTAAAGGGATATACCTGAATGTTCTGGAGTTAATGCAGCGGCACGCACATTCCCCTGAAGTGGCCGAGAGTGGCTGTAAGATGCTGAACCACCTGTTTGAAGGCAGGTAAGACGGACTCACACACTTACGCAGAACAGGTGGGGCCGAGGGACTGTCCCTATGTCAAGGTTATTGCTACAAGGGGCAAACATGGGGCTTTGAAGACTGACACCTTTGGCAGTATGGTCTCCTGTCACCGAGGCCACAGAATTGCTTCATCTGAACGTGGAAAGGATTGGCAGAGCCTGAGGACAGATGACGAAGGTTGGTTTCTCTGCACAGTGTTCACTACATTTAGAAATCTTGTGATTACCCGGTACGTGACATCAGCGTTATTTCTGCCGATTGTGTCAGCATGAAAGGTCTAAGACATGAAATGAGAGACTAGCTTTTTAACTGTAGCTTCTTCACAACAAAACTGGATTATAATTTCTTCATGTGAATTAACTCTCAGACTCCAGCTGGGGGAACCTAAGGTGCGCCTGGCCCAGTTCCTCGGTGTTCAGAGTAAGAGCCTGGCTAATGAGGGGCACAGTGGGGCCTAGACCTTTTTATCTGGGGGTAGATGGTGGCATGGGCAGAACTGTTAGTTAAAAAAACCAGAACTCAGTGATGTGCAGGCGATGCTTACTGCAGAGTACGCTCACTGCCCCTTTTCATTTATTAAGGTGCAAAATGTGAATTAGCTTTGACATTGAGTAAATTTCGAACAAACAAAAAAGGCCATGAGGGAACCGGCACGCGTCAGGGAAAACACAAAAGGCAGAGGTGTGGCAGCCAAAACTGGTGGTGTGTCCTAACTGCAGCTAATTTGAGCGAACTGTTTGCTGAACATCAGGTTCCTCACCTGTAACAAGGGGTAATGAAAACTTCATGTCTCCTCCCTTAAATGTGGGAGCCAAAATTCAGAAAGAAGGAAGGAAGGAAATACCCATGTGTACCAGTTTGGCTGCAGATACTGTGTTTTGTTAAACTTTATTCATCCAACAAATTGGTGGAAATTATATCCTAACTTTTTAATGCTTTTGTGACTTATAAAATTTATGTGAAAGAGATTGAACTTGTTTTCATTTGATTGTTGATCATAGCCCTTGCCTATTTTCCTGTTGCACTGTGGTCTTTTCACTTTTTATTTGTTGAATTCTTTATTCAGTGGAGCCAAAAAGCCTTTGTCTGTGATGCAAAGTAAAAATGTTATCTCAACCAGAAATATATTTTAAGGATCTCGTGTTATGATTTTATAATGCGGGGATTACGGAAGTTAATTTTCATGAAGCAGTGTGGATAATGCCTGGTGCATTTTGAGCACCCAGCAAATCACAGCTGTGACAACTGCTGCTGCACAATGTGACCGACGGGCCTGGGGTGTGGTGCACCTGTCTGCTTGGGCGGCGGGCTCTGCTGTCTTACCATCCAGTCTGTATCTATCTGCATGCTTCGTCTTTCTCAGTCGTTTTCTCTTATTTAAAGGTTGCTCTTGAGTACTTCATCTTGATTGTTGGTTTTTGTGGTGCTGTAAGCGTTGAACCTTTAGGAGTGGGGCAACCTCCTTGATAAATGAAGTCGTAAAGCACGGGTTAGGGTTCTGTAGTTTCTGGCTGTTTGCTCAAGTGTGAGATGTGCACAGTTCAGTGGGGATTCCCAGCTGACAGGGACACAGCGCCTCCTATGTTCACTGTTGAAAGTGTGGCCTGCAGGTGGAAAAGCACCATCATGATGACCGCATGCACAGCTATGACGCAGCTCTGATCCGTGCATGGTGCACTTGCTGTGGAAAGCGAGGCTGCCTCCGTGACAGCGCACGGTGCCTCCTGAGCTCTGGGTGAAGGGTGTGTGTTCATCTGTGAAAGAGCACATAGCTCCGGCCGGCGCCGCGGCTCACTAGGCTAATCCTCCGCCTGCGGCGCCGGCACACCGGGTTCTAGTCCCGGTTGGGGCGCCGGATTCTGTCCTGGTTGCCCCTCTTCCAGGCCAGCTCTCTGCTGTGGCCTGGGAGTGCAGTGGAGGATGGCCCAGGTGCTTGGGTCCTGCACCCCATGGGAGACCAGGAGAAGCACCTGGCTCCTGCCATCGGATCAGTGCGGTACGCTGGCCACAGTGGCCATTGGAGGGTGAACCAACGGCAAAGGAAGACCTTTCTCTCTGTCTCTCTCTCTCTCTCACTGTCCACTCTGCCTGTCAAAAATAAATAAATAAACAAACAAATAAGTAAAAAAGAGACCATAGCTCCAAGACCTTGGGGAGAACAAGGCTTCATGTAAAACACAACTCCGTAAATGCCCTACCAGCGGCTCAGTGATGCTCGCGTGGCAGGAAGCCCAGTGCCCAGCCCTGCCGTTAGACAAGTTTGCATGTCAGCCGTGACGATGGGACTTTGGGAGTTAACCTGCATCTGCTCAAGTCCTTTGGAAAATGAGGGTGGACTCTCCTGCCTTCTGGGATGGTTGCACACACAGATCAGAAGGAAGCTCCTAGTTTTATGAAACAATAAAATGAATCTCAGTTGTCTGTGAATTCTAGTTCTTGAGGTGAAAGTTTAAACAACACGGTTGTTACATTACCAAAGTCGAGTGCATTTTCAGGTAGCCTTTCCTGGTAAAGTTCATGGTTCTCTTTTCTTGCGTCTGTTTAAAGTTTGGTGTGTGTGTGTGTGTGATTAAGTCAGATTGATTTTTAGTAAGTATGCCAATGTTATTCCTGCAGTCACATTTCCCTGGATACAGTGGCGGCAGTGGTCCCCAAAATAATAACAGTTATGAGAAGTCACGAGGCGTCACTGTCAGTGCAGCTGGAGGCACTCCGAGCTATTCTACATTTTATGATGCCAGGTAAGTCCTATGTAGATTGCGGGGAGTGATAGATGTTCAAATGGACTTGGGAGTTTTTAGCAACATCCATTTTCTAGGCAGAAGTTAGAGGGATGGTTTCTGCCAGCCAAATGCAGAGCTCTCTGCTGAACCAAAAATGAAATGTGGATGGTGATGTGAAAGTCACTTAGTCAATTTATAAGAAACTCCATGAGAAAATTCAGTCATTTACTGCAAAAGTAATAAATAAAATGTGAAGTGTGGGTTTTTTAATTTTATTTTAAAAACTTATGAGAGGCAGAGAGAGAGAGAGAGAGAGAGAGAGAGAGAAAGAGCGAATGCTCCCATCCACTGGTTCCCCATTCGCATGCCCACAGTGGCGAGGACTGGGCTGGGGGTGGAGCAAGGAGCTGTAACTCAATCCAGGTCTCCAACATGCGGGGCAGGGACCCAGCTACTTGAGCAGTCATGGCTGCCTCCCAGGATGTTTATTAGTCAGAGTCAAGGAGCTGGGCTGAGTGTTGAACCCAAGGACTCTGCTGGGCCATGTGGGGTCTTAAGAATCTTAACTGGGACTGGCGTTGTGGCAGAGCAGGTGAGGTGGCTGCCTGTGATGCCGCATCCCATATGGATGCCCGTTCATGTTCTAGCTGCTGTGCTTTCAACCCACCTCCCTGCTAATGGCCTGGGAAAAGCAGCAGAAGATGGCCCAAGTACTTGGGCCCCTGCCACCCACATGGGAGACCTGGATGCAGGTCCTGGCTTCAGCCTGGCCCAGCTCTGGCCATTGTAGCCACCTGGGGAGTGAACCAGTGGATGGAAGCTCTTTATGTGTCTCCCTCTCTTTGTAACTCTTTCAAATAAATTAAAAAAGAAATCTTGAATAACAGCAAGACCAAATGCATGCCCCAAATATGCAGCTTTTATCTCTAAGAAGAGCTTCTGTCTGATAATTCTTTTTTTTTTTTTAATCGCTGTCACCTGATTGTGAGTGCAAGCTTGCCTTGCCTTGCCTGAACCATGATGGCAGCTCATTTCCATACCTTTACCTGGCTTCACCCCAGCGCTGCTTTCCCTCTGGTTGAGTTAGTTTTCCTGCAGTATAACCAACCGTATAACCACATGCATCTCTCTGACGACAGTGGTGTCTACTCTCCTTTAACTCCTACCTACACCTGTTCTGACCTTATTTTACCCAGAAGCACATCCACATCACCTGCTCCTCCATTCATTCAACACATACCTATTAGGTGCCTCGTCTGTTCTAATGAACGTGATGCTGTTGTGGTTTGAAAGATGATGAGAGAATAGCATGACTGTGCTGATACAGGAGCTTAGAGATACACAGATAGGCACAAATTTCCAAAATGTTTGTACCTTAAATAGACTTATCTTTAAATGCCATTTTCCATAGACTTGAAGTGACTGCATGTGTAGAAGGCTGTGGCAGTCTCAGTGGAGGCAGGGCAGTGGGGGGAAGTTGGGATCCTTGCCGTTGGAGGTTGAGTAGCCCTGGCCTGGGAGGACTTTGCAAGAACAGCAGATTCTCAGGGTCAGGGGCGGGGAGGAGCGCGGGGAGGCGGTCGTGTGTGGAATGGAATGTGGGATGCAGGGTGAGCAGTGTGCTTTCTCCTGGAAGTCAGTTCGGGTTTATTAAAAGGCGTTTAAAACGTGTGGGCTCACAGCCAGGCTTTCAGTTGCTAACAGGAGCGCTGTGGTGCGAGGTGACTGGCAGGGAGACTGCATGCAGGACCCTTGGTGGGGAAGGAGGCTGGGCCAGGGTGGGCCAGGGTGGGGTCTGCAAGGTGGTCAGTCCTGTGCCATGGGAAACTGGAAGGGCAGAGTTTTTGTTTTGTAACATTCACAATTCTTCGGAAGTTCCATTTTTTTTCCCTTTAAAATAAAATCTTCCAGAACCTACCATTTTCTACAGTTACATAGGTATTTTGTGTTCCTGAGTCTAAGAGGACACTCAGTTTAAGAGGATACTCTCTCTCTCTCTCTCTCTCTCTCTCTTGACAGGCAGAGTGGACAGTGAGAGAGAGAGAGAGACAGAGAGAAAGGTCTTCCTTTGCCGTTGGTTCACCCTCCAATGGCCGCTGCGGCCGGCGCACCGCGCTGATCCGAAGCCAGGAGCCAGGTGCTTCTCCTGGTCTCCCATGGGGTGCAGGGCCCAAGCACTTGGGCCATCCTAAGAGGATACTTTCTAAAGATGCAGCTTTGTTCTGTGAATCTTTTTTGTTTTTAATCCCTACTACCTTGAGCTAAAATAGGTATTCATTCAGTTTTTTTAGATTGAATCATGCTGTTCCATTCCTAGTTGTCAGCCAACTTTTGAAACTTAGCAGATATAATTTTGCATGAAAATACTGATTTTATTTTCTTTATAGGTTACAGTAAAATGACAGCAGCAACAGCAAAACCCTTCAGCTTTCCCTTAAAGATGTCAGCCTTGTTCTTTCGAGGGTGGAATTCAGTTTTAAAGATAAGCAAAAGATGTTCAGAACCAAGGCGTTGAGTTAATAAGAGAACACTCCTTTAGTCTGAAAATAAGTTCTGAATGTCTTTTCTTTTTTTCTTAAATGGACCTTGCAGCAGTGTTGTTAGTTGATGGTCATTTAGATGTGCTATGGATGTCATGGAAGGGTGACTGTGGGGCTGTGCTTTGTGCATGGAGATCTGTATTAGTAGACGTGTAAACAGAGTGTGTAAGCACATTTCGGTTAGGTAAAGGCTTAATCACCTGTTCAACTTTGTTACCATATCAAACTAGCACACCACATCACCCCATACTGTGCTACACTGCAACAACACAACACAGCGTGGTGTTCCATGTCATACCGTACAATAGTGTCGTGTGCCATGTGTCATGCCGTAGCATGGTACTCGCACATCTCCCCCTGCACCATGCCATGTCGTACTGTATTGTTCTCTGGTATAGCTAATGAGTAATTACATAACCAGTACCCCAAGAGTGTATATAATTTTTATTTGAACATTTTGAGGTTATTCTAAGATAGCCAGACACACATTCACTTGATGACGTTTGCATGTCCTTAGTAACAAAGATGTACATTACCACAAGCTTGTATAATCAAGTATCCAGTAAAGAATCGCATGCTACATCTGCTAACAAATTAATTTCTTTCAATGTAGTACTGCTACTTCCTGTTTTTTAAACATAACAGCTTATGAAAGTGTTAAGCTGGTTGCTTCTATGAATTAATAATAAAGGTGTAGTAGTTTTAACAGAATATCATTTGTCTCATTTAGTTCCGGAGGAAATAATGTAAAATTCTTTAAGAAGAAACATAGGGCAACTGAAAAGTATATAGAGGAGAAAGATGAAGATTATAAAAGCACACTGATGCGGGCCGGCGCCGCGGCTCACTAGGCTAATCCTCCTCCTGCGGCGCCGGCACACCGGGTTCTAGTCCCGGTCGGGGCGCCAGTTCTGCACCAGTTGCTCCTCTTCCAGTCCAGCTCTCTGCTGTGGCCCGGGAGTGCAGTGGAGGATGGCCCAAGTGCTTGGACTCTGCGCCTGCATGGGAGACCAGGATAAGTACCTGGCTCCTGGCTTCGGATCGGTGCAGTGCGCCGGCCGTAATGGCCATTTGAGGGGTGAACCAACAGAAGGAAGACCTTTCTGTCTCTCTTTCTCACTGTCTAACTCTGCCTGTCAAAAAAAAAAAAAAGTACACTGATGGGGACAGTGAGAGGAATGGAGACCCTGGTATCTACAGAAGATACGACTTGGCACCTGAAACCTCTATTATGGTCTGCTCATGTATAACTGATAACAGTAAGAGTAACTAGCATTATGAGGACTTGACAGATGGGGAAATTGAGGAAGAGGGTTGTCAAAGGTTTTAAGGTCACACCCTGTGTGTGGAGCCAGCTTTTCAGCCTGTGCAGCCTCACTCCAGGGTGGATACTTCTCATGCATTTGCTGAACACCTGTTATGTGTGAAGCATGGTGCTTGCAGCTCTTGAGATCTGGGTGTGACGAGGCTGTGGATTCTGCCCTCGTGAAGTCTGTGGGGCACACAGTAGGCAGAGCTGTTTGGTGGAAAGGAAGTTACCTGCGTGCTGGTTGGTAGGACTGTAAGCAACACAGGAGAGGCCAGGCGTGGGACTTGCGGGAATGTTCACCTGGGCACAAGGACGCTGTTTGAGAAGACCCAGTGCGTGGGGCTTGCAGTGTGTGCTACTACAGGCAGTGGTCCACTGCCCAGCCCCAGGTACTGTGCGCCCGGAAGGTGAGATCCAGACCCAGTGACAGAGCTGCAGTGAGGTCTGCCCTCTTCCCTGAATTCTGGGCATGGGGAAGGCCCCTGGCAGACGTTGGCAATCTAGTTCTTGGAAAGGCTATAGATAGCCAGTTTATAGTTTGCATTAATACACGTTATTGCAGGGGAGTATTATAAATATGTTCCTTAGTAGTCATTTCTGTTGTCTCAGATTTGGTAAACATTGCTTCATAATAGTTTACTCATCTATTAGATGAATTTTTTTGACTGTCATTTTTTTTTTTTTTTTTGACAGGCAGAGTGGACAGTGAGAGAGAGGGAGAGACAGAGAGAAAGGTCTTCCTTTTTGCCGTTGGTTCACCCTCCAATGGCCGCCGCGGCCGGCACACTGCAGCCAGCGCACCACGCTGATCTGATGGCAGGAGCCAGGTGCTTCTCCTGGTCTCCCATGGGGTGCAGGGCCCAAGCACTTGGGCCATCCTCCTCTGCACTCCCAGGCCACAGCGGAGAGCTGGCCTGGAAGAGGGGCAACCGGGACAGAATCCGGTGCCCCGACCGGGACTAGAACCCAGTGTGCTGGCGCCGCAAGGCGGAGGATTAGCCTAGTGAGCTGCGGCGCCGGCGACTGTCATATTTTTTTAACACTTTTGGCTTTAAGGAATTTTTTAAAGATAGTACCATATGTCACACTTAGAAAACTTCTAATAAAATTAAAGAATGACATGCTTTCCACTATCATAATACTGCTTTTCCACTATTTTTCTGTCTGCTTTTTTTCTGCCTACAAATCATAGCTGGCGTTTAAACATAGAGCTCCAGACAATTCAGCCTTTCTCTGCCCGGCCACTGTTGCAAGAAAACTTTCTGGTGTCTTACACCACAGTCTACTTATACAAAAGAGACTGCCTGGTGCAGAAATCCCTCCCTGGTGGTCCCTTCTTGCTTCTTTAAGTGGTAAACTTCCAGACACATTGTGCTTCTTTGTATCTAGTGATGAACTGTGTTTATGCGTTCCTTACAACCCTTGAAACAGAGCCATGCACAAATGCATCATTGGCTTCTCATGATCATTTCTAACAAGTGACAGCTCAGCTTGAATCTTCAGGAGAAAAGCCTGCTTTTATTTATTTGCCTCTCTGTGTGCTTTTGCATGTAGGCATGCCGGAAGAGTCCAGAGAGGAAACAGAATCTCAGCGGAACCTAAACGTGGTTAGAAAGCAGTGTTTCAGGAGTGACATCCACAAACTGGTCCTCGCCGCTTTGAACAGGGTATGTCGAATACAGGTTTATTCCTTGACAAGGTCACCTAGAAAACTCCAGGGCTTTTTCTAGGTTAAGTTTCCCATGCTGCTAGGAAGTTTGTGGCTGAGACCTGGAGAGATGGGGTGAGGGTTGAAGGACATGTGCCCAGGTGACCCGGCTGTAGTCGGGGTGTTGCATGCTGTGGCCGTAGACACCCTCCTTGTGAAGGCCAGAATCGTGAACCCCTGTGAAGCTGGGTGTGCAGCTCAACATGCTGCTTTCTCTCTTATCTAAGATTTATTTATTTATTTGAAAGGCAGAGTTACAGAGAAGCAGAAGGAGGGAGGGAAGAAAGAGAGGGATGGACAGATGTTCAGTCTGCTGGTTCATCCCCCAATGGCTGTAACAATGGGAGCTGGGCCAGACCAAAGCTAGGAGCCTGGAGCTGCATCCAGGTCTGTCCCAAGTGCTTGGGCCAGGTTTCCCAGGGGCGTTAGCGGGGAGCAGGATCAGAAGTGAAGCAGCTGGAACTGGTGCCCATTTAGGATGTTGGCTTTGCAGGCAGTGGCCCAACCAGCTGCACCACAATGCAGGCCCCTCTTGTTTTGTTTCGTTTTTCTCCCTGGTTCTCTGCTTTTAAAGTATCAGCCCTCGTAGACATCCAGGGCACACCAGAGTCGTCTTTGATTCTCCAGGCTCATTGTCAGGGTTTCGTCCCATTGCTCAGGTGTTTTCGTTTCTGTGTGCCTTGTAACAAAAGTGTCACTAAATCATGCTAAGTACGAATAAAGGGTAGAAGGGAACCCTGTTATCTTGTGCAGTGCAATAGGTGTTGATGGAATTGAGTTAACCTGGCCAGCACTGTGCCTCACTAGGCTAATCCTCTGCCTGCGGCACCAGCACCCCGGGTTCTAGTCCCAGTTGGGGCACCGGGTTTTGTTCTGGTTGCTCCTCTACCAGTCCAGCTCTCTGCTGTGGCCCGGGAAGGCAGTGGAGGATGGCGCAGGTGCTTGGGCCCTGTACCCGGATGGGAGACCAGGAGGAAGCACCTGGCTCCTGGCTTTGGATCGATGGCCATTTCGGGGGTGAACCAATGGAAAATGAAGATCTCTCTCTCTCTCCCTCTCCCTCACTGTTTAACTCTGCCTGTCAAAAAAAAAAAAAAAAGGAATTGAGTTAACCTAAGATGAGTTGGTTCTTTGTAAAAGATTCAAGAATAAAGATGTAAAGAATGATTAAGGCTAATATTTTTATGACAGGGAAAGAGGATTCAAAGTAATTAATTAATGATTCCTTGTGATTTAGTGTACTTTGATAAATGTCATGAATTAATTAGAATAGTCTCCAGAGAGATCTCTTGGATTTCTCAATTTAAGTTGAAATTTGTAATGTAATTTTCTGTTGTATGTTTGAATCTTGTGTACTCACACCTTGATATGATTTTTGATTATAGCAAAATATGTTGTAGAAGGGTCAAATTGACTTGTAGAAATACTTGTTAAAATGAGACGGAAGGAACCGAGCCGGCACTGATGAGCCCATAAGCAGGGTGATCTGTTCCTCTCCGTCTCGTTCCTGATCATCTGGCTGGGGAGCGATGGCCGTGCCTGACATCAGGTGTCTGCCCGAGCATGGTGGGTGCTCGGGCAGACTTGGGAGCATGTTCTGGGAACACAGGGGAGGCAGCGATAAATTGGATTCACGGTGAATGTTGCCAAGAAGGAAGAGGCTCCCGCAAAGCCCGAGAGGTGACTGTGGTTCCAGCTGGCTGCACTTGGCTGAAGCGCCCGTGTACCAGAGTGCCATAGACGGCAGCGCCGCCCGTCAGCCCTAAGTACCGTGCCGGAGTCGCTGGACTCCGGGGTCTGACTTTTTCCCTACATCCAGGAGAAGTGACCGAGAACTGCCTCTTTTTGCCCCTCTCAGCCAGCACCTGAGCCTTGTCACACTGCCTCACTGCACAGTGGCTGTCACTTGGTGCGGAGTTGAGGTCAAGGGGAAGCAGTGACAGTATTTTGTGCAGTTGTTTGAAAGGCCGAGATAGAGTGAAAGAGAGGGAGACAGAGCCAGTGCTCATCCTCTGGTTCACTCCCAAGGTGCTCATTAGCAGAATCCTGGAGCCAGGAGTAGAGCTGGCACTGTGAAAGGAGATACGGCCTTTCCAAGTGTTGGCACTGCTGCGCCCAATGCTTGCCCCAACAATATTTTATGTCAAAAATCTTTGCACTGTTGTTCCACTAATCCTTCAGTGTGATTGAGGACAAAATGCTCTAAAAGATGAGAACAGGGCCAGCGCTGTGGCTCACTTGGTTAATCCTCCTCCTTGCAGCACCGGCATCCCATATGGGTGCTGGCTTCTAGCCCTGGTTGCTCCTCTTCCAGGCCAGCTCTCTGCTGTGGCCCGGGAGGGCAGTGGAGGATGGCCCAAGTGCTTGGGCCCTGCACCCCATGGGAGACCAGGAGAGGCACCTGGCTCCTGGCTTCGGATCAGCGCAGCACCGGCCGTAGCGGCCACTTGGGGAGTGAACCAACAGAAGGAGGACCTTTCTCTCTGTATCTCTCTCTCACTGTCTATAACTTTACCTATCAAATAATTTTTTTTAAAAAAAAGATGAGAATAAATGTTTTCTTTAGCTCTAAAATTCTGTGATTACAAAACATGAGAGGTTTAATGTCCAAATTTTATAGAAACAATGGGCAAGTAATCAATAAAAGTAGTCTAATTTTGTAGAACAGAACCCCAAATAAGGTAGAACTGGAGGGCCGGAGCCGCGGCTCACTAGGCTAATCCTCCACCTAGTGGCGCTGGCACACCGGGTTCTAGTCCCGGTCGGGGCGCCGGATTCTGTCCCGGTTGCCCCTCTTCCAGGCCAGCTCTCTGCTGTGGCCCGGGAGTGCAGTGGAGGATGGCCCAGGTGCTTGGGCCCTGCACCCCATGGGAGACCAGGAAAAGCACCTGGCTCCTGGCTCCTGCCATCAGATCAGCGCGGTGCGCCGGCCGCAGCGCGGCCAGCCGGGGCGCCATTGGAAGGGTGAACCAACGGCAAAGGGAGAGACCTCTCTCTCTCTCTCTCTCTCTCACT